ATTGTTAGAAATAAAGTCTCGCATAATTTGAGACAATGGCAATATAAAAACTGACCACGCCCGGTGTGCAGGAAACACGGACTTTTTTTTATGCAACTCCGGAACTACCCACGACAAGGAAGCGAGGGATCTCAGCAGGGTTCGTACAGGTTTCCAAAACAAAAATTCAAGGTTATGCAAGGACATTCCAGGGCCTGTTGCCTATTTTTCAAGGACTCAAAAAGTTGCATGTAAAGAGGGAATATTTTATCTAATATTTTCAGAAATGATTAATTTTACTGCAATTACAACATATGGATATCACAATTATAAAACACCTAGTCTTGCCAACTTATGAACATCACAACACACAATGGCGTCGCCAATTTGCAGGTCCCAGCACTTGCCAAAAGCTCGCAGCTCCCGCTTGAGCACTTTTTTTTTTGTATAGCTAGAAAGGGATTCGTTGGAAGCCACCAGGAGAGCACAAAACATTGCTGAGCCTTCGTCGCAGGTCTGTTCAACCGTACCAGACCCGGCGGCGGCATCGCGAGAAGGTACGACTGATGCCGAGTGCCGAGTTTGGTCGGTTCAGTTGCACCCCTCTTCAGCGTGCACTAGACTTTATTAGATGCGAAGAAGCTCATTGACTCACGTGTGTAACGCCGTATGTACGTACTTCGTACTTCCGTACGAACGCGCCGCAACTTGTTCCCCTCGCCACAGTTATTGGAGCAATGGCAGGTATATCAAGTGATAGCTGCATGTTGAAATCACGCTCCCTTCGCACGCTTCCCTCACAGGTGCACACTGACGCTACTTTTCCCTCACCCACAGCATGCTCGCCGAACCTGTCGACTCCTTCACCCACCCGCAACGCACGTGGCCATGCTGCCCCTGCTGGACGTGGAGAGTGCCTTTGACAGTCTCCCACACGAGGTCGTCGAGACGTCACTGGACCGACTTGGCGTTCACGGGTGCCTCCGCAGCTTCGTGACTGCCTTCCGGGTTCGAGTCGGAAAGGAGACCAGCAAACCCAGGGACATCACCGCAGGGCTCCGTGCTGAGCCCCTTCCTGTTCAACCTGGCGATGGCAGGGCTCCCTGTTTCTCTTCCGACAGGCATCAGGTTCCCGGCCCACTGCTCTGTCTACGCCGACGACGTGGCACTCTGAGCCAGGGGATCGAGGCGGTCCATTCCAGCCATCAGGACGTCACTTCAGGCGGCCCTGAATGCGGCGTCCGCCTACCTGAGTGGCATCAGACTCAAGGTCTCCGCAACCAAGACCGAGGCCCTGCTGATCCACCCGCTGACCGCAGCACGACGCTACGTGAAGCAGCTGAGGGTCGGTAACCGCAACCTGCCTTGGAAGCTGACAGTGAAGTACCTGGGGCTCACCATCGACCACCGTCTCACCTGGGTCTCAGCTGCCAAGGTCGCCTGCACACAGGTACGGCGTGTACAGGGAGCCATCAGCAAGCTGCAGCAGCGTGGATGCGGCTGCTCAACCAAGCTGGCGCTTCGACTCAACCAGGCTTCAGCGTCCTCAGTCCTGCTGTACGCCTTTCCACTGGTGGCCCTGATGCCTGCCAGGAGACTAGACCTGGAGGGACATCACAGGAGAGCAGTGAGGGCCATCCTGGGGCTCCCCAGGTACTCCCCCGTGGCAGCGACCCTGGCCAAGGCTGGAGAGTGGCCCCTGTCTCTGCACATGCTCCAGCGTGCTCTGGGGCACGTAGACCGCTTACACCCTGCTGCCGATGGTAGAACCCTCCTGGAGCAACTTCGCAGCCAGCCGAGGTCACGGATGGGTGGTCTCTGTGCACTCTACCACCAGATGGTCCCGGACCCGCCAGTCCCGGTGGCCCCTCCACCACCCCACCGCCAGCCGCCTGAGGTCCACCTGTACCTGGACGGGGTAACCAAGCGCCGAACACCTGCTGCAGCACTGCAACAGGCCGCCGTCTCCAAGCTCCAGCAGCAACTGGCAGGGCAGCTCCAGGTCTTCACTGACGGATCCGTCATGCCAGACGGTTCAGCGGCAGCCGCCTGTGTCATCTCATCCCGGGCCATCAGCAGGCAGTGCCGACTACCCTTCCCGGCGAGCTCGACGGCTGCGGAGCTGGCAGGGCTACACCTGGTGGCGGACCTGCTGGCCGAGGACGTTCCGGCTCAACCGGTCGCAGTCCTGTGTGACAGCAAGGCAGCCCTGCAGACGCTGGCCAATCATCGCTGTGCCGGGCTCACAGGGAGTCTCCTGGCAACCAAGTACCGGGCCCTAGCAGCAGCCGGGATGTCTGTCTCCTTCCACTGGCTGCCCTCTCACGTGGGCATAGCTGGCAACGAGGAGGCGGACATGCTGGCCAAGGCAGCACATCAGCTGGAAACCTTCATCACCCAAGCCGTGGCAGTGAGAGATTACTCGCAGGCCCGTATCAAGAAGCTCCTCGCCTCAGTCCACCCGGACCAGAGGGTGGCCGAAGGGCGGGGACCCAGGCGTCTTCCCGAGGCAGGCCTCACCAGGAGAGAACGAGCCAACCTGCTGCGGCTGCGGACCAGATGCGTGTGGACCGCGGCCCGCCGCTACCTCAAGGGATGCTGCGCATCCCCAGGCTGCAGCCGCTGCGGCGACCCCGAGCACCTCCTCTGTGCCTGCCCTGCCTTGGCCCAGGAACGCTCAAGGGTCACCGCAGCCTACCGGAGACATGGCCTTCCTGCCATCACTCTAGAGCACCTACTGTTCTCATCTCGTCCCCATCTACCAGCGCTCCGGAGCCTAATAGAGTTCCTGGACGAGACAGGAATCGTGGCCTACCGCCGAGGATGGGCCCCTTGCCACCCCTACCCTTGCTTCTGGACTGCTGCTTCTGTTGATGACCGTTCCACTGCTCAATTAATCTTTCCTCTTCTTTCCACTTTTCCCTTCCCCGCAGGCACTGCGCCGTGCTCCCGACCGGGTTGCAGAAATTAGGTGCCTTTTCTCATCTTCTAACCACTACCACCACCACCACTCGCTTCGCCCTCTGCGCCCGCAACACTCGACCGCACTTCTAGTGGAAACACTTGGGAGTCTTTCGGTTCGTTTATCTGCGATGAAACTTACACAAAACCCACCCCGCTTCTTGTGTATTTGCGTTCCAAACAAACGTTTACTCGAGTAAACGCTACAGTCAGTTTTGCTTTAAACCGGTCTTCCAGCATTCACGTCGACGCTCGTTTCAACCAGGTTAACGCCGTACGCACCACTGCCGCATCGCATCCATCAGGCTTCCCTTCAGGGAAATGGTCCATAATTTTCTTTGCAACGCGTTCACGCAGCTTTAGCCGTGTGCTTGATTGGTGCGTATTTTCGTAGACGAAGAACAAACAATGACTCTAAGTATGGGTCAAGAAGACAGAGACACTAAACTAAGCTTAAACTAGGAGTTTGAGCGGTTACCTTGAGTAGATGCGGTGTTGGCATGCTATGCGCAACTGAAAGCATGTTTCGATGTCGCGGCAGTGCGCACACCACGTTAAATGCAGAGCTATGTTTTTTGGGGCAGTTTCTAAGACGATCGCAATTGCTGTATATATCAAGCTGTAATTGTTTTCCTCGTCTTATCCAAGCCACTACAAAAACGCGGTGGCAGGCGACGCGGCATTTACCGCTAGGTGACTTCATTCGCAAGGGCTCGGTTGCTAGCTGCGTGACCGAGTGTCGATTCTTTCTGCGCCCGCCAAGTGTCCCTGCGATTGGGGCGGCCAGTGAGGAACCTGCTGGCATGAAATCTCGAAGGCAATGCTACGCGCCGCAATTTTCAAGAAAAAAAAAATTCTATGTGCATTGGTTTGTGTACAGTAAAAACTTAATGCAGCATGCTGCTCAACCATAAAGTAAGACCTGCAACAGTTGTTACTTCACACTCGTCCTGTGTATACTTGTGCATTATATTCAAGCTCCCTTCTTCGTGTTTAAGCAACACGCTACAAGTATGGAGCTGTGACCGCTCTTCGTTTGCACTCGCTTAGGAACGTGTTCTTTTCATTCGTCTTCCGAACTTGAGCGGCACATTGTAAGTATTCAGTTGCTTGCCGTTCTTCAAGTGACATTCTAACTTATTGCTTTTGCAGTCTCTGCTTCACTGCCCCCACAAAACTGACTTTCCTTTTTTTTCCCGGTGCAGTTCTGCAAAACGGAATTATGTGGGCACGCGCCGCATTACAATTTCTACAAGGTGGAGTTGGTGAGGTCGGCATGCCAATGACCACATTATGGAGGTCGATACGAGAGTGCACTGCTCAGGAAATTCAAGCATTTTCGAGGCTGAAAAAATTTTCAGAGTGTACTTTTCAATTTGAAGGGTTTTCATTCAAATACCTGTACACACCTAGTTTGGGCACGTGCCAAAGTATGATCTGATCAGTAAAATCGGAAAACATTTTGAAATACACAAAGCCAACAATGTGTGGTCAAACATCTGTTTCTTACTTCAGTTATAAACAGGCACAAAAAACATTTACCTGTCTGCAAAAAGAAGCGGCAAAAGAATCTGATAAGCACCGAATACCATATGCAGATGTAAGGCGATCCACTGACTGAATTGAAACCACTTGCTGTTTTTCACAAAATATACGGCCGCAAGTGCCTTTTTTAAATTTCGTTGCTTCCTTGTCACATGTACTTCGAGTGTGACGTAACAGCTAAAGTGGTCGCATACCCAGCTTGCAGGGCGCGATGAATTTCAATATCATGAATTAAATTCATTTATAAATATCTCAAACTACAGTTAATTTAACTTTCATGATTTTGAGATAATATAAGACATCTAAAATAGTACATAATAGGCTGTGGAAAAGCTACCAAACCATATTATAGAAAAAAGCAGACATACAAAGCCTTTGTTTCTTTCTATGTTCTTGTTTAGTTGTGCTTCCACCGTCTGTCAAAAATGTTTTAGCCACATCGTGCAGCTAGTAAAGGTACAGTGAACAGAACAACTCATGTAAATGTCGCAGCAATAACAGCAACACAGAGCAAGTGAAATCTTAAAACTTCAATTTGCTTTAATGGATCTGTACAATGACTTGGCTAAAAGAGATAGTGGGGCAGTACACAAACATATACATAAGTTACTGCACAACACGAGCCATACACGACACACGTTGGCAGTCAGCATCACAATTTGCTTGTTAACCCACCAGCTCCCACTACCCCACAAATGGCAAGCATTGCGCGGAAACAAACGCTGCACATCACACCAATGAGCATTTTTAAACGTGAGAACTGAAATATATCTACAGAATTGTACATGTAATTACAGCAACATCAAACTTAGCACCAGCTAGTGATCTAAAATAAAACAACGCACTGCCTAATACCACAATGATGAATATTTCCAAGGAATGCACTTCGTGTACTAGCACGTTTTCAAAAGTAAAGAACTTGCAACTGCCTCGTACAAACATAAAGGCAAATAAAGGACATTTTCACTACATTGCTACGAAACGTTATAATGCTAAAGTATTTCGTTTTTAAGGTCAAGCAGAGAGATTGGAAACACATTTATTTTCCCTGCATATTAGAAAAGGGCTGTATAAGAAAGAAGAGTGGACCAATTAGGCAAACAAAAATTTCTTTCATGCCTGTCGCCAAAGCAACAAACGCGAGTTTTTTTTTTTAATATTTTCACACAATGGATAGAAATTTTCGGTGGTAGCAGTTCTTCAAAAAATCCATTTCGCATTTAGTACCACAACAAAATATAAACTTTGTAGAAGTAAAAGATGGTGTGTTGATATGTACAAAGGTGATAGTGTGCAATACTGGCTCTGACAGTTTAGGCATTCTGAATATGTACATAGATTTTGCACAAAACAAGCATCAGGGATGAACATTGTATAAATAATGTAGGGTTAATGAGCACTGAAAAAGCCCAGCCAATGGCAAAGCATTGCATCTTAAGCTGTGACCTAGCTTACCAGCCTTTTCATATTCGTTCCTTTGCATCACACACATTCAGGTTTTCGTAACAGAAATACGTAGAATACGAACTGTACACACAAATCTGCATACATATAGGTCATCTTGCTCTCAATTGACTAGTGAAAAAAAATTGAAGCAATTGTCCATACTGAAGCTGCAGCGATAAAAAACTCTGACTACGAAACAACTAACGAAGGATAAGTCTTGGAGATAAAGGTGCAACATAACAAGATATGCTACACGACACATCTACATCGCCTCGGCCATTAGAGAAAAAACAATCATCGCAACATGTATCGACCAGGTCTGTAAAAGAAAACGCTGCATAATACGATCTTTTCAACAACTAAGCGGATAATGTACAAAGTTGGATTAGGTAACCATGCGGAAGTGATAAGATTACCGGAAGGAAAAGTGTCTTTGCAAACAGAAAAGAGACTTCTCGGGCTATTACGCAAGAGTTGCAAGATGTAATGCAAGCACAGTGAAGAAGCCATCAGCCGCAACAGTCAAGACGTATTCTACATTACTTCACACTGTTAACTACGGCACGTAACATCTACAAACATTAAACAGGTGAACTGTGCCAATAATGCATTTGGCACTGCTCGATAAAGTATGCTAAGTGTGCGGCCTATGCGACACAAGCTTTTTTTTTCTTCATCATCATCGCAACAATGGCAGGTACGAGCACATTTTGCACGAGACACCAGGTGAACAACAAATAAACAAGACGAAGTTCCCTTCGTCTGACACAACGTGGTCGAAACTCTTTCGTACCAGCACCACTCAAGTATGTTGGTATTATTTACAGATTGTTCCTATTATTTGCCTGTACAACCGATGCCAACAATGGCATTTCAAAAACCTGCTCATGCATTTCACATTGACTAAGATTTAAAAAAGAAAAAAAGTTTTTTGCAAGTTGCCGCTATAGTGCCGCTGTTCTCTACACATACGTACTTTATTAAAAAAAAAGGCACTTTGTTGACCTAGTCTTCACGTTGTCATAAGCACAACAGCTCTGTCCATCATGCAGTGCCTACTACATAAGCAACAACAACCTGAAGTTAGATTATAAGGGAAAAAAACAGCTATGCTTCTATTATTTACATAATCTTTATACAGAAGTAGCAGAATAAAGGTGGTGCTGCAAAAAAGTCCGTACCTTACTCCACATTTTTGCAACATCTGTGAAGAACTGGGAACTCGCGCACACAACGAAAGAAAGAAGCTTAGCGTTTTCACAGTGACAAAATGAGAATGTAGTGTGGACATTAATGTGGGATGAGTCATTAAAATTCTAAGAGGTGGCAATGAAGAGGGTTTGATCAGGAAAAAAATAAAATAAATGAAATTAAGTGACGCTAAAATGTGTCTAGACATTGCTGGAGCCCGGTGAGCCGCTGATAAAGTTGAATACTTCCAGCGACATCCTCTTCATAGCAACCGACGAGCGATGATCAGTGACCAACTGTTGAAAATGATTAAAGAAGAGTTGATTAGTTACAGCCAGTTCAAATAAAAAAATATTGCAATAAAATCTAAACATTCCTGCCGTACTGCTTCCTAGCAGCATATTCCTGTATTTGCCTCTATATAAGCACCAGTTTATTTATTTGTATCGTAATAAAGGTGGTGACAAGTCATCACACAATGAATACATCTAATATGAACAAATAATACATAAGGGCCAAATGAACAAGAAAAAAAATTGTGCACAGACACATTTCGATGACAATGTTTAACACCAAAACAGGCAAATGAGAGTTGTGCTATTACATATTGTATTCTAGAGTATTTCAATTTGTCTGGTAATTTGCTGGTTTTTATGTCTACTATGTGTCACAGATATTCAGCATGCAATAACAGACTGTTCTCCTGACAAATGGGTAAAAATATAAAGCAAACAAAAGACAAGATAGCAAAAGAACCTCCACAAATAACTGAGTGCACAGAAAAATTCAGCAAAGCGTTCAGGATTATGGGTTCTTCCCACCTTACTGATGCCTTCTTATGACATGCACGAACAGGGGCCCTTAACACAAAACTAGATGAAGGATGATTGAAGAAAAAAAGCCAACAAGGAAAATATAAAGCTAACACTCTCTCTCTCTTTCTCAACAAAAAAAGATAGTAATGAAGAGTGCAAATATAAATTTTGATACAACTGTAGCAAGTGCACAATAAAAAGGTAATAAAAATTCCTCAACATGACAAAGTCAGTAAAACTGAAAATGTACTTGATTATATCAAAGCTTAATTAAATCGAAGTTATCACAACTTGTACTTCTTAATAAAATGCAGAGACAGCAAAAATGTACCAGTAGTGTCTTTATAATTCATGTTGCAATAAAAATAAAGCTATGATGAACACAAGATGTGGCTGTGTAGGCAAAGTCCACTTTACGCTAGGTTCAAATCACTCATAAAATGGAAAGGAATGCAGGTCTAATGCACTGGTGAAGTATAGGACTGAGCTATCCCACCTATTGTGCCAGTGGGACTCGTAATCAAAATCTCGAGAGTTTCTAGAAGTGGTGTGACGGCGGTGAAACCTTGTTTGCCGAATCGAGCTACTAGCTCTTTTCTAGCAACTTTTCTTGCAACATTGCAACTTTTCCATGCAGCTTTTCTATGCTTGAAATAACACTCTGTTAACGCAAGCAACACTCACCTTCTCTTTCATTATTTCAGAGAGCTGGCTGGCCATGTCAACTAGGTTTTTCTTAAGGGCACTGTGGTATTCGCATTGTTCAGGTGGGATTAGCTTGCCATTCAGGTCCAACGCCTGCTGGCAAATGTTGAGGAATTGCCTGAAGATACAATGACAAACAACACTATGTAGAAAACAAGTTCACCGCAGGGGGGAACATCGAAACCAATTGCCAAGCGCAGCGAAGGCACTGTAAGACGTATGAAAAAATGTGCCGCAAGTGCAATTAAGATCCTTCACACCATAGAGTTTCCTAAAATTAAATAGAGGGGACTGTGGCACTGCGATCGTTCAGTGACCATGGGAATGATAGGTAATACACAGATTTGCCTAGTCTTCGTACTTGTGGGCAGCGAATCACACTTGTGGCTTCGTTTATTGCTGTGTTCCGGTTGTGCTTCGAAGGAATGAACAAACCCTTTTGAACTTCGCGACTTGATTTGAAATGCTAAGCCTAAAATAATAAGGTGGTAAAGAGCAGCCGCCAAAGATTTACTGATTTTTGTTTCGTGGGAAAACGGCTCCAAGCCCCACGAACACACACGGCACCAGAAGCACGAAGATTGGACAAATCCGTGTACTAGCGATCATTCCCATGCTCGCTCAAGTGTCGTGCGTTGCAACTCCCATATACACCAGCACCAGAGTCCCCTCTAGAGTATATTTAGAAAACTCTATGCTTTACAACGTGAAATGCTCCACCAGGAAATGTGCAACACAAGATAAGTCACCAAGAAACGTGATACTAAAAAAAATACTATTAAAAAAGCTTTGCGAGGACTTGTACACAAAGAAACTCATTCCATATGTTATTCCAACACAAAATGTACAATCGAGAGTATGCGACCAAAATATTGTCGCGGTACAACGCGAATAAAACACAGATACACCTTGGGACGACGAAAGCAGCGTGTGCTCAACAGCTGAGCCACAAGATCGTCTTCTTCGGCCTCGAGAGAAGCTAGAGGCCCACTACCTTGTGCCCAATAAATGCCCCATCATCGTTATCGTCCACATGTAGACACGCGTCATTTGCCTCTCTCTCAAAGAGCATCGCCCGGATGCGCAGTCTGTAATGCAGTTTTTTTTTTCTAAAATAAAGTATCACGCAATCACTCGCTGACGTAAGGTTTCATGCGGACTACGTGAACGAGTTCAGGATGGTGCTGGCGACGCCTTGTACTATACGAACAGTCGGGAACAACTTCGTAAGTGACATTGCTCAGTCGTCGCACAACTAGGTACGGTCCAGAGTATCTTCTTGAGAGTTTTTGGGAAAGTCCTCGTTTTCGCACGGGCGTCCAAACCCATACTTTGTCGCCAGTTTGCTAGACGACTGTTCTGCGGTGAGCATTGTAGCGGCCTGCATCGTAGTCTTGCTGCTGGCTGATCCGTAATTGTGCAAGTTGCCTAGCTTCTTCTGCGCGTTCCGTAGGACGATGTCGTCGCCTTCGTGCGGTAACATTGCATCTAACATGGTTCGTACTTGCCGTCCATGAACGGGGCTGAAAGGTGTCATGCAGGTCGTTTCTTGCTTGGCCGTGTTGTATGCAAACGTTATGTAAGGCAAGATTGTATCCCAATTTTTGTGTTCGACGTCTACGTACATCGAAAGCGTGTCTTCAATGGTTTTGTTTAGATGCTCTGTCAGCCCGTTCGTTTGCGGGTGGTATGCGGTGGTCCTACGATGCGTTGTTCCACTAGCATCAAAACATGGTCCAAAAGAGCTGCTGTAAATGCGGTTCCTCTGTCTGTGATTACGACGATTGGTGCACCATGCCTCAGTACAATATTCTCGGTAAAAAATCTTGCCACCTCCGCTGCTGTACCTCTCTGGATAGCCTTTGTCTCGGCATAACGGGTCAAATAATCCGTCGCGACGATAACCCATCGGTTGTCTGCAGTAGAAGTAGGGAGTGGGCCCAAAATGTCCATGCCGATCTGGTGGAATGGAGTCATTGGGACCTGTACGGGTTGCAGGAGGCCAGCTGGTTTAGTTGGCGGTGACTTGTGTCACTGGCAGTCGAGACAGGTACGAACGTGGTGCTTCACGGCTGTAGTTAGTCTTGGCCAGTAATACCTTTGCTGTACCCTGGCCAACGTTCTTGTGTAACCCAAGTGGCCAGAGGTAACCTCGTTGTGGCATGCTTTCAGTACTTCGGTGCGAAGGGCTGCTGGGACGACGAGTAGATAGGCAGATCCCGTCGACGAAAAATTTCTTTTATAGAGTACTCCGCCGCGTAAACAAAATGATGACAACGCTTTTGCGAAAACTCTTGGCGCCTTCCGAGACCTGCCATCCAAGTAGGTAATTAAGCCAAGCAACTCAGCGTCGTCTCGTTGCTGCGCAATGGTGGTCGCGTCGAGGACACCGAGAAATGATGTTTCCTCCTCCTCGGGTAGGGTTGCCGACTCAATGGGTGAACGGGACAAACAGTCGGCGTCCATATGTCGCTTCCCTGACTTATGTACGACTGCCATATCGAATTCCTGCAGCCTGAGACTCCAACGCGCTAATCGGCCAGTAGGGTCTTTAAGATTAGTTAACCAACACAGTGAGTGGTGGTCGCTAATTACTTTGAAGGGGCGGCCATATAAATACGGACGAAATTTTGTAACCGCCCATACCACGGCGAGACATTCCTTCTCAGTCGTGGAGTAATTAGCCTCAGCGTGTGTTAACGTTCTGCTTGCGTAAGCGATTACCCTTTCTGTGCCCTCTTGCTGCAGCACAAGCACAGTTCCCATTCCAACATTGCTAGCATCGGTGTGAAGCATCGTAGGGGCTCTCTCGTCGAAGTGGGCAAGGACTGGGGGTGTTTGTAGTCGCTGGCGAAGATCGTTAAAAGCAGCTTCCTCTTCGTTATTCCACTCGAAGGTGACGTCTTCTCTCGTGAGGCGAGTTAGCGGTGATGCTATGCGTGCGAAGTCCGCAATAAATCATCGATAATATGCGCAGAGGCCGAGAAAGCGTCTGACAGCCTTTTTATCGGTCGGCATAGGGAACTGTTCTACGGCTGCGATTTTTTCAGGATCGGGACGAACACCAGCATGACTGACGACATGACCAAAAAATCGCAGCTCTTCGTAGCAAAAGTGGCACTTCTCAGGCTCCAACGTCAGACCCGCGGACTGCATGGCTCGTAAGACCACCTCAAGTCTTCCAAGGTTCTCGTCAAACGTCGCGGAAAACACTATGACGTCGTCCAGATATACTAAGCATGTTTTCCACTTCAACCCAGAAAGCACGGTATCCATGAGTCTTTGAAAGGTAGCAGGGGCTGAGCACAAACCGAATGGCAAGACCTTAAATTCATATAACCCATCTGGTGTCACAAAAGCGGTCTTCTCGCGGTCTCTCGGGTCCACCTCGATTTGCCAATATCCACTCCGCAAGTCCATTGAAGAGAAGTATCGAGCATGTCGAAGTCTGTCGAGAGAGTCGTCTATACGCGGTAGTGGATATACGTCTTTCTTGGTCACCTGATTTAGCTTCCGGTAATCCACACAGAAGCGCAGGCTTCCGTCCTTTTTCTTAACGAGAACTACAGGCGACGCCCAGGGGCTCTGTGAAGGCTGAATGACGTCATCTTCAAGCATTCTGTCTACCTTCTGTTGTATCGCTTCACGTTCTTTTGGAGCCACGCGATAAGGGTTCTGGTGAATAGGTCTCGCCATTTCCTCGGTAGTTATTCGATGCCTGGTTAGAGGAGTGCGGCCAACTCTTGATGTTGTTGAAAAGCAGTCTTGAAATTTGGCCAGTAGCTCAAGGAGTCTGCGCCGGTCGTCTTTCGGCAAAGTAATGCTAACGTCCAGAACAGGCGCTGAATCAAAATTTAGCGACTCGCCGACTACCGCCAAGCAGCCTTCGGCATCTACGACATCGTCGAAGTAAGCGACAGCCGTGCCTTTAGGAAAGTGCCGGCGCTCAGCACTAAAATTGGTCAGCAGCAAGTCCGTGCGTACAGCAGCAACTCTGAGGATACCTCGTGTGACAGAAATACCGTGGGTAAAGAGCAGCGAGCTTATTCGTTCTGCAACCCCTTTGGCGTCAAACTGAGCAGCGGCGGCCACAGAAACAAGCGTGCATTACCTCGGAGGGAGAACCACATCGTCATCAGTAAAACGCAGTTGGTTTGGTCGCGCCTCTGGAGAATTGGGTAAGCCCTAACTGTTGCAAAACGTAATCAAGCTCTCTGGTATGTTGATGACGGCACCATATTCCCGTAAAATGCCCATGCCAAGAATTAAGTCTCTGCAGCATGCGGCGATAACGACGAACGACGCAGTGAAAGGAGAACCTCCGATGTCAATTCTTGCAGTACATCTGCCCGAGGGCATCAATAACTGGCCTCCTGCTGTTCTTATATGAGGGCCCGTCCACGGCGTCTTCACTTTTCTGAGGCTGTCGGAGAGGTCCTGACTGATAATGGAGAAGTCGGCACCAGTGTCGACAAAAGCTGTTACTTTCTGGCCGTCAAAAAGAACACTAAGGTCAGCAGTCACAATTTCATTGTTTTCCCGGCTTATCGGCTGTATGACGTCATGCTGTGGGGGCTTCTTGTCGTTATCTTTATGGCCTGCAACCTTGCCCCCGGAGGTCGCCGCTCTTAGTTTCCCCGATGCGGGCTAGGTGACCTTCTTGTATTAAGGTTCGCGTAGGTGCGACGGTGCGACAAAGGCGAACGCGCGAGGGACGGAGAGCGGGATCGACGTCTCGGACCAGGAGGGTGAGCAGGCATTGCCTCCTCTGCAGTGGTAGAGCCGTCCTGAAAGTGAGAACGGGCTCCATAGAAAGAGGTGTCGTCACGGCGCGGAGTGTATTCGCCGTTGGCACGTCGACCGTCAAACCAAGGTCGATGAGGACGGAATGAATCACCTCGATGCCAGCAATGACGGGCAACATGTCCTGCACCTCTGCAGTGAAAGCATAGTGGACGTCTGCCCACTGTGCGCCATGCATCTATTTTCCGGGTCAGTGAACGCGTCGATGCCCATGGCGTGGCTGTGGACGGCTGGTTGTATGGCTGTAGCGTGGCTGGTTGATGCAGTGTCTGCTCTTGCGGCGGATACGAAGGGGCCATCGGCACCTGGTGGTACAGCGTCGGCATAGCGGGTGGTGGACGTCGGAGAGCGGCAGCGTAGCTCATAGGACGCTGCTGAGCATCAGGACTAGCGGTAGACAACGCTTGGTGGATTTCGTCGCGTACGACTTCAGCGATCGACGCGATGGGATTTTCAGCAACCGGATTCCGCAACCTCTGCAGTTCTTCGCGAACTATCTCCCTAATCAAGTCTCGCAAGCAGCTCTGACTCTCAGACGTCATGGCGATAGCATTGATTGGGACATTGCAGGACATGGGGTCATATTGCCTGCAGCGTTGATGAAGGGCCCGCTCGATAGTCGTAGCCTCCTTAATGAAGTCAACCACGGTGCTTGGAGGGTTGCGCAGTAGCCCGGCAAAAAGCTGTTCCTTGACACCGCGCATGAGGTAACTCAACTTTTTATCTTTTATGTGCGGGTTAGCTCGTTGAAAGAGACGAGTCATGTCCTCGGCAAACATTGCAACGGTTTCGTTGGGTTTTCGAACCCGTAGCTACAATAACTGCTGCGCACGGTCCCTTCTATCAATATTGGCGAAGGTATCGACGAACTTCTGTCGAAAGTCGGGCCAAGCTGACAGATTGCCTTCTCTATTCTCACACCAAGTACGAGCACCGTCGTCAAGGTAGAAATAGGCGCGTGAAAGCTTTTCCTGTTACGACCACTGATTTACCTTGGCAACACACTTGTAGTGGTCCAGCCAGTCGTGAACGTCTTCATGAGCACCGCCACTAAAGCGATCGGGAACGAGGGGTTGAAAGAGGGTCACCTGAGGTGGGTGCGTCAGAAAGATGCCTTGGGGCACCTGTTGCAGGCTTGCGTTGGCCATTGGTTGAGGTGTGCGGTGTCTAGCAGGTTCCGGCGAGTGAGTCAGCTCTGGCGCGAGGCCTCGCAACCGTCGACTGGAGCGATGCACCGGTGTTTCTACAGGTGACAATGCGTCTGGACTCGATGAACGGCTCCCAGCAGGCGTGTGGAGCATCAGACAGGGTTGGGGGCCAGCTCCTCCACCAGTGTCGCGGTACAACGCGAATAAAACACAGATACACCTTGGGATGACGAAAGCAGCGTGTGCTCAACAGCTGAGCCACAAGATCGTCTTCTTCGGCCTCGAGAGAAGCTAGAGGCCCACTACCTCGTGCCCAATAAATGCCCCATCATCGTTATCGTCCACATGTAGACACGCGTCAATATATACTATATACCGTTAAACCTGGCTGTAAAGAAATTGGAAGAAGTTTGTGGATTTTCGTTACATTGAGATTTCCGTTACATGCAGTTTTTGAGTAAAGACAAGAGAAACTATCGCGAAAACCAAGCAAAGACGCTGTGGATGCCAACACAGTGACACTCACCCAAAAAAAATATTTATTTAGCACAAAACGAACTGCGTTATTTTGGCTTATGTCTTCCGCGTCAAATATGACATGACGCAGTGGATCAGAGAAACCAATTCGTCCATGGTGCCTCGTCATCCTGTGAGCCAACGTGACGGTGCAGAACATCCAGCGTAACCAAGATCTCCTTCGCGGTAGGCAACGACTACTGACACGCCGTCACCTGCTGCTTCTAATCTACTGCTGACACACCTTCATCATCACCGCGATCTTGGGCAGTTTCTACAAGTGCCACATCCGACACGGTAGACACTGCATCACTGTCAGCATCTTACTGTCAGACACTGCATCACTGTCCGACACCAGATGCTGTCTTTCGCACTCAATATAATCAACAGGGAGCTGGCTGAGATATCAAATCACGCATAAACATCATTCTTCTTCTCACTTGCGGAAACCGCGTTTAGAATTGCAAACTTCTCTTCAAAAGACAAAACCTTGCCCTTTCTGGGCACGGAGCTCCTTTTCGCAATGAGGGCAGCTGAGAGGCCCAACAAGACATTATAGAATGTCTGATGCTCTCACCGCTTCGTTCACCCGTTCGGCACAGTTGCACGATTAGACCACGCAACTCACAAGCAAAAGCTGCTTAGCTTGGCCTTCGACATGGCGCACCACATCACCATCTTGCAGGCTTCGCAACGAGGAAACTGTTCGCCGCTGCGCGGCACAAGCGAATCTAGCGATGCTTGTACACTCGAACTCAACCACAACGAACGCCGCTTCAACCAAATTTTCATTACAACGAAAAATTCCCGATTCCCTGACAGCAGTCCATAGGAGAAATGCATAAACATTGTCACGACAAGGAACCCCTTTTCTTCTGTCGTCCTGCTTCAACAAAATTTCACGATGCAATTCCAGACTCAGATACTTATTGCTATGCACTAAACCCAATCTTTAACATTTCAATGCATTTTTGGAGCCTGGAAATGTGTCAACGAAGTCTAAAACACATGTTGGCACCACCAAAACTACCGCTGTTCAGCAAGCATGGATGCCGCCATTGGTCGATAGCGATGCAAATGAGACTGCCCTGCTTTTGCCACTGGCTTTCTTTTGAGCCGCAGACAATCCGAAGCTAAAGCTCAGTTGCTCAGTTCATGGTTTCCTTCACGCAGCTGCTGGGTGCAACCGTGGAACGATGCCTTTTCAGATGCTTATCATTATGTTCGTGCTTGGCCAGTGTGGTAACTAATCAGAGCGGCTGTTCGTCTGCATTATCAACAAAATCAGCTAGCCGTGAGCGATAGATGATAAGAACGACATAGAAGTTGCCGCTCCACGATACCCTGCTTCCATCTCGGCGTTGTTGTATACACGTTGTCGTATAAACGTTGACGGCAGACAGCTGCTGATGTTAACGTGCTAATGCAACTGTCTGGTTCGTTCACCAAGGCGGTTTCAGGCGTTCTTTCAGCGTGCTTTTTACCATGGCCTCGTTATGCATGGGTGGGAATCACGTCGTGACGCTGCCAGGAAAGAATAGGAAGCAGCGGACATTTTTTAAATTTTGAGAATAAACGTTCCTTTGTTTTGCTAGCTCAGATCAGCTATATTTTTTTATTTCACTATAATGAAATTTTTGCTTCAGCGAAATTTTTTCCGCACACCCTCAGTTTCGTTGTAGCGGGGTTCGACTGTATCATCATCGCGGCACGCACTTGTCTGCTGCAATGATATGCGTTCTACCCGCGAACGCCCCCTTGTATTGTCAATTTTCGTATTATAGAACTTACGCACTGTACATACAAGATTTTAGTAATGTTACGACTCAAAATAAGAAATGATAAGTGATGAAAATTCGTTACATATAGGTAAATTACCGCAACAGCTTCGTTACATGGAGGTTGCTAATACATCGGCTTCTTTGAGAATGGTGTTGGGGAATGAAAATATTTCATTATTAAATCCGGGAATTCGTTACATTCAGTTTAGTTACATCCAGGTTTAACTGCATATTGATTCCATTAAGAACACGATATCTTGTTTAATGTGTCTTTGGCAGGCCTGATAAATGTACTATGATGCTGAAAGAAGTAATGAAAGGGACCCTGCAACACCTCTTGAGCATGCTAAGGAAACGCTGCCGATTGGTAGTAAAGGCTCTCGAGAACACGCAAGCCAAATATTAGAGCAAAGCACGCGGCCTGGAATTCACAATAAACTATTAAAGTCAGCTAAAAATTGCTTTCTCTTCTCTTGAGAAATGACGGTAGATGCTCACAAATCGCTTGTAAAAGACCATCTATACGCCATTAGTCGCAGAGGGAGACCGTGACTTTTCAACGTGTGCACTCGCGATCACACTGAAAAAACCACCTATTCGAAAAAAAAAAAGAAAGAAAAAGTGCTCCAGGTCATGCCCATGTGACGTATTTTCTTTGCCCCTGCTGTCCCTCCCTGCTTAGCCTCCAGCACTTTGGTCGGGACGAGGGAGTACGCGATTGCAGCAGGCTACAAATCTTTGTAACTCTGCTCATACTGGACGGATTCTCAAAATTTTTGTGGCATTGAACTCGTGAGGCAATAAGCTTTTTTAATGAATTAATTACATGATTTCTTTAACAAAGTGTTTCAGGGCCCCTTGAAAGAAATTTTTCTTGGTAGAACATTAGCAGAGCCTTAAGGGCATTATACGAAGGTTGTAGGTTCGGTCATTACAGGAGGCAAAGTTGTTTTTTTCATCCATTTCAAATTCTTGATGTTCATGTCATAATTATCACACTACAGTCAAAGACAACAAATAGTGTCTTCTATACTTTCCTTGGCTTCATTATCTATTGCTTTCATACGGTGTAAGAAAGTAGCACTTATTTGACACTTGCCTAAACTTCTCTCTTAGTTCATTGACCTCCTCCTCCGGGTATAAGTGCGATTTGCTCTCATCCAAGAAGGCGTTTGCATAGGCAAGAGGGCCAGCATTCACCTGTCGAAAGAGGAAACGCGTGATATTGGTGAAATGAGAACAGGCATGCACATGCATCACAAACATCACTGACTGAAAGGGTGAGTGAGACCCAAAAATACAATATAAAGGGTCTTCTATGAGAATACACACAAACAATGTATTGATGCCTATGTTTGCCTGCGAACTCTAAAGTTTCTCAAAATCCTGCGGGCACAACACTCGGAGGGGAATGTGGGAGCAAGTACCGTTAAACCCACTCATAAGAGGCATGCTCCGGACAGCATTTCTTGTCTTTTATATGAGATGTCTGTTATAATCAGGGTACCCCTCATGGATTTTCTTATCAACCCGTATTTTACTGTAGGCACAGTGGTGTCTCTTATACCCATCTGTCTCTTGTAAAGGAGTTCGACTGTATTTCTTTTGAATGCTTGCCCTGACCACACGTTTTGAGGGATTCTTTAGGCGCAGCTCGCAAGAGCAAATTTAAAAAAGCACAAACTGGTGATCGACATAATGTTTATACATAGCAGTGATGCAATAAGCAATTTTGCTTTCACCAACATTAACTGTTTCTATAAATTGGTTCACAAAGCTAACAAAGCTCATCATTCCTACCTCAGTGAGCATTTTAATGGCAAACTGATTTCGAACAGGAAAAGCACTGACATTGAAGCATGCTACTTTATTCTTTTCAGTGTTATCTGCAACGCAACCAATTTCCTGAGCTGCATGGTGACCACAATAATTTAGCTTTGGGCAAGCTTTTGCTGGATACGAATTGAATGGAAACATCTTAAAGTTAAAGAATGTTGGTTGGCTGTGTATGCTTTGACAGTAAAGGTTAAGTGAATAGTCAGGCTTTCTTTAATAATCATTAAGCCTTTGCTGTCGCTCCTAAGCAGATGAAGTCAAAGCTAAGAAGAGAGAAGCCATAAGTTCGTGACTGGCTGTGCAACGCAGACATCGAGAAGGCAAAAAGAGACACCACGAGTACAAGACGGCATTGCTCTTATGGTACCCTATTCTTTTTTGTTTGCGTCTGTGTTGCACAGCCAGTCATGGATCATTACCAGCTTTCCCAACTATCAGTTCTTTTGGTTCTTAAGTTTGTCACGTACTGTATACGAGTGCTGCCCATACATACATCAGGGGTGGGTGCATGGACATCCAGACTAACCCTTCTAAATTGACGTATGAATGCTGCAACAACAGTCCTGCAAACAGCTGACTATGTGCCTGACCTGGACACCAATGCTGCCCTGCAGCTTGAGTTGAAGCTTCTTGAGGTCAGGTATCTTGCGATGGACCACCTCATCCAACTCGGCGACACGTGTCTGCATCTCGTCAATGGCCACCTCAATCGGATTGAGGTCCTTTGTCCTGCGGCTCGTCACTGGTATCCGTTTCTTTACGTACGGGAAGCAGTAGATGGCTGCAGGGGAAAAGTCACGCCAGTTAAACCGGAAGCGCAGACACCACTGCAATTAAGACCTGAAACAACAATGTGCACTCCCACAGGCATCAAATTTTTATTAGGTGCGTGTGAATATTGAAATATTCCTAAATAATGTTTGCCATTTAATTCGACTCACCCCGTAATTTTACTATTCAAACTATTCGAACATTTGGAGGATAAATATACAGCCAATGTAATTTTTTTGGATTCCCAAGGGACTGCAAAATCCTTCCAAAATCGAGCATTTAAAAAAAAAACGGATTCATGCATTTTTATTCTCCTGAACCGGTCACATTACAACAGCTACGCCTGAAAAAGGTTTAACGCCTCCCAGCAGCTTTATTCGGCATTTTGATGTCTGCCCAAGCTTTTGTGAATACATTCACTACCTGCTGTGAACTATGCTCAACTACTTAAATTTGCTTATGCCAGCAAAGTATGGAATAGATTGCGGTTCTCGCGCATGTAGAGTTTGGAAACAATGACGCAGAACACGAAGAATGGCGGAAAAGCAGATGACTCATCCGGCTTTCGCCGATATGTATACACACATAAATGATCACTGAATCTCTGCCGATACACAAAATTCGCTGCTATGTAAAGTCGGTCATTCTTAGTTGTGTGCAGCACATCGCCAAATTATCTGACGCCCTCACTGCCTGGGTGCTTGCTCAATCGTACGCACGCATTTGTCATGAAAGTGTTCGTGATGTGTACTTTGTTCCTAACAGCACACGGTTGAGGCGATGTCGAGCTGCTTACTTGATGAAGGCAGCTCATCTGTGCGGTGCACTAAACGGTCTCGCACAAAGAGGCAGCATGAATGGCGGCACAGCGCATTAGTGACGTATGGATGCCACTAGCAGCACTAAGCCACATGCAGTACTCAGCTGAAGATGTTCATCAGAATGGTTGTTTGTGATTAAACCGTACTGGTGCATTTGCCACCTACCGCTATCCCGCTGCAGTTTCCATCGCGAGAGCGAGCCGGCCCGCAGGGGACGAAGAGGAAGAAGTACCAGCAAGCACAAGGAGATATGGGGGAGATCTCGGTAGTCAGCAGGGCTTAATGTCCTCATTACTTCTTAATAACTTTTAACTATACCTCGATGAGATCGAGTACTTCCACGGCTGCACCACGCCATATCCCACAAATTTTGGTGCCGAAGCCCAGGATTGACCAACCGACTGTTACGAGTGGCCTGGAAGACACGGACAAGCTCAAGGCGAAGCGGACTTCATGACAATTGCTGAATATCTGGATCATCAATGAGGCAAGTGTCCTATTTTGCAATTACTCCACGATGCATGAGCAGCCTGGTCCCATATACGAGAGGCTCAAAACAAATGACGATGAGCTGAACAAGATCAACTCTGAATTGGAAAGTCATTTCGGACGAGGACTTCCAAGTTGAGTACGACAGCATTTTAGAGTACGAGGACAACGCAATGCGAATCCTGCCCGAGCTCTTAAGCAGGCAGACATGCATTTCAAGTACACAAGCAGAACATATGAAGTGATGGAAGATATGAAGTGGCATCACCTTGGAAAGAAGGATTTCAGCTTTCTGACAACAAGCAAGTTGCTGTTGCTTCATAAGCTACTCACGCGCCTTGCAAGGCAGAAAGGATTATTAGAGACATACAACGGCACCATACGCGAGTACGCACGAGCGGGACATGCCAAAATTGTTGATGACGTTCCTCCGGAGCCAGACAAGTTGTACTACATAGTCGTCAGAGAGCAGGCATTCTCGACGCATCTTCTCGTGAAAAGGGATGCAAGTCCCCCAATGAGTGCCTCGAAAAGGAAGACAACTGAAGACCTTGGGAAGATACTTCTGCATTTTAGGACACATCCCATAGTGGTAATCGCTGACATAGAGAAGGCATTCCTACAGATATCGATACGTGAACAAGACAGAGACGCCTTGCAGTTCCAAGGCTACTTAAAGGGTAGTCAGCTCCAAGAATGGAGGATCACGTGTGTACCCTTTGGAGCTACATGCAGCCCATTACTGCTCACGGCAAACAACATTCAGCATGTGAGGAGACCCCAGGGTGCAAAAGCGAAAACAGCAAACAGAATGGCAGATTCTTTTTGTGTGGATGACCTGGTTACGAGCGCCGACACAAAAAACGAAGCTGAAGAATTTTGTTGTGAGGCGCAAGAAATAAATCAGCGGGAATGGTCTTACGGAAGTGGACCACAAACTCACCGAATCTAACGGTTGCCCTGGTACGCCAGAAGGAATCTGCCAGTAAGGAATTGATAGTCCTTCATGAGCAATCTGTTAAAGTCCTTGGCGTTGCTTGGAATCCCGCAAAAGACGAGTTCATTTTCTCTGTCGACAGATTGTTAGATTGTATAAAAGAGAAACTTGGCACTAAATGGTTCGTCATGCACGCAACGTCGAGAATATTTGGCCCACTCGGAATCGTTGGACCGTACACTATTGCCATACAGATACTATTCCAAAAACTGTAGACACGCTGAATAAGCTGGGATGAGCAACTGTATACCTGATGACCTGTAAAATGAATGGCAAAGCCTAGACTGGCAGCTTCCACAACTGCAGGAAATATCGATTACTCGCTATCTTGGCAGAGGGAGCAAGTTGCCCAACTGCATGTCTTCTGCGATGCCAGCCCAGCAGTGTACAGAGCGGTAATCTATGCCGTCACTTCCACGGCCGAACGACCCTATTTGCTGATCTCCAAGGCACGGGTAGCTCCCAGTAAGAAAACGACGCTTTTGGGTGCATTGGTTAGCGCGAGACTGCTGACATACGTGGGCAGTGCACTTGCGACATCCATATTGATTACACTTTGTGGACAGACTCCACGATTGTACTGTCGTGGATACGAGGAGACTGCACAAGATGGAAGCAATTTGTTGCTAATCCTAGACATTGACACTGCATTCGTGAATTTCTGGTGCTTAAAGAGATTACTGCACTGTACTGTTATAATGACCCCTTCATATTTTCAATATGTTTCACCGCATTATATTCTGGCATTGTGGCCAAGGTGCTTTTTGGGTTCTGCTAAGGTTACAAGCGCATCGATTCTTGAAAGCGCCGGTTCAAGCCCACGTGGCGAAGGCAGCAGCTTTAATTAATAGAGCTTCGGACCAGAAAGTCCGAAAGAAACCAGATGAAGATTTTTAGCATCTGCAATTTCAGATGTTTCTATAAATTGACGTCTACACGGCAGACAGGAACTCTTGACTCAAAATGAGTGTGCCTTTATTTGTCACAACATCAGTTGGGCCTCCACAGAAGTTGAAGGAGGAGAAGAGGATAAGAAAATAGCGTCTTTTCTTTTCATGTATAAAGTGTTGTTGGCACGGCACAGCTGGTTGCCCCAAATCAGGTAAATAAATAAAGTTCAGCCTCTGTGTTGCCTCATTATTGATAAGACAACAAGAAAACACCACCCCTCGAACGCTTCAGCAACTTATACAAAAGAAAAGTTTTCATGTTGCTATTGGTAACTGACAGATTGTTTGGGCTTGCCAGCTCAACTGAGATCTTAACCCTAACCCAACTTCAGAGGAGTGGGAAGCGGCCCTGCTCGGTCACTCGAAGCTTCAGTCCCGAAGGGCCCTGGTACGAAAGGCTCAGCTAGCGGCTGTGGCAAATGAGGTACCAGAGTAGGGACTCCACCCATTGCAGAGCCTCTAAAGAGCTGCACCTCTCTTTTGTTCTGAAATAAATTTTTTCAATCAATCAATCATAACGATATACTTAGGAATCCTCAACAACCTTTTTTTTGATAATGTCACTTTGAAGTATTAGGAAAATATTTGAGAAATATTCGAAAATTATTCAATTAACACTCATACTTTCACATGAAAATTCACCTTGACCCAATAATGTGCTATTTGTACAGCTCCAGTTTTCATTTATTACAGAGACACCTTGCAGGCCCCGTCGGGCATTGACTAAGAAGGCAAATGTAACATCGAGCAAAGTAGAACAATGTAAATGACAAAAAAGGAAAACTCCAACAGCTGCTCAGTGGCTAAACAGAAATACCTTGCAGAATGCATATGCATAGCTACAAACGATAAGTCATACGAAATATAAGCAGAATCCAGACTTCTCTTTACCCTATTCACACATATTTTAAAATACTAGGAATACCACTACTGAGTACTTGTGAAAATATTTGTGAAATTGTAACTTTTTTCCCCCAAGATGTGAACAACTGTGCCTCAAGCTCAGCAATGCAATGTGGCGCCCACTCAACTACTGTGGTAGAGAGAAAGAGAGAATAAAATGAGGAAAAGGCAGGGAGGATAACCAGAAATTGGAGCATCTGGTTTGCTACCCTGCACTAAGAGAAGAGAGAATTGGGAATGAAGATGAGAAAGAAAGCGAAAAGCGAAATAGATGCGCGAAAAAAAAAGTGATCTGAAATGCTATAGCCTATTCAATAGACCGCTACTACGCAAAAAGTTCAATGGGCCTTCACTGATTTTCTGTGCAAAGACAGATCATGTTGCCTTTCAAGCACTGACTGTTCTGACAAGGGTCTTTCGTCAAGGCGAGCTAACGCAGCAGCTAGCTGCCGTCTTTGCATGCTGTAACGAGGGCAGTGACAGAGAATGTGCTCTATCGTTTCATCGCTGCCACAATGATCGCAAGCAGCACTGTCTTCCATGCCGATTCAGAAAGCGTAAACTTTGGTGAAAGCGACACCAAGCCACAGTCGGCAAAGCACCGTTAGTCTCAAGTCGAGACAGTCCACACAGAAGCCGAAGTTGATGAGACTAGTCCAGCCTATGCAGTCGCGTCTGCCGTAAGCACTCAGCGTTCCACAGAGATTTTACTTCTTCATTAGCAATTTTCGGGATTTTCATTGCGGCATCAGTCCTTGAAAATGGAATAGATTCTTCTTCACCATCTTTGCGTGTCGATCGAGCAGCTGCATCGGCATGTTCGTTGCCCAATATGCCGCATTGACTTGGTAGCCACTGAAATGTGATTTCGTGTCCTTAGTCGAAGAGGTGGTAAAGCAGCTTTCTAATTTCCAGCACTAGTTGTTCATAAGGTCCCCTGTGTAAACACTGTAGTGCTGTCTTGGAGTCCGTGAACATGCTCCATTTCTCGGCTTCTTGGTGTTTAATGACTTTGACTGCACTATGTAGAGAAGCAAGTTCCGCAGCAGTCGATGACGTCTGGTGGGATAACCGAATCTTCGTCGCTGTCGCTGTTGCAGGAAAGATCACTGACCCTGTGGACCCATCCACTTTAGTTGAAGTGTCAGTATATAGATGGTTATGCTCACTGTACTTCTCATACAACAAGAGAAGAGAAAGCTGCTTTAGCGCTGGAGACGAGAGCCGGGCTTTTGACCATGTGCCTGGAACCGTGAGTTGAACCTGTGGATGAGTCATACACCATGGGCGAGTCGCAATTCTGGATGGAGTTGTATGCATGTACGATATGACAAGACTGTCTAGCAAAATGAGGCACGAGGTCAGTCTTCTGGCAGTGAGGCTAGATGATGGGAAGGGGCGCGAGTAAGATGTCTTAATATATGCGTCTTGAGCGGGTAGTCATTTGCGATCGCAATTGTCAGTTGTTCACGAACATCGCGGTAGCTCTAGACAAACTGTGGCAGGTGCCATATTAAATTATGCTAAGGGGTTTCAAGTGCTTAAATTACTGTATATTGCCGATCTTAAGTCATCGTTTCTTTTTTAATTCACTTTCCAAAGTTCAAGTCGACCTACACACGGAATCGTAATGTCGAATTTTCTGAGGGGTCCGACGAACGATCGTCCTCGGGTCCACTGCTTTTCAAGGCATCGATAAAATCTGCCGGAGAAGCAACGCAGCCACGGGAACTGTTATCTCTCAGCACGCGCACACCGATTCTGGAGCCGGACATCTTTACGATCTGCCACGAGGATCGCGAAACTACGGTATAGCTACCTATGGTGGCTAGAGGAGGAGGTGTAAGCAACGGAGCAACGGAGATACAGCATTTTTTCATGATGTGTCGCCGACGACATCACAGTTTCAATGGTAGCGCCACTGCATCGGTGCATCTGTCGAGCAAGATTGGCAACAACACCAGAGGCCATAGCGTATAAGTATGACAGTGCATTTTGCTCTCAAAGAAACACGACATGCATTTATCGCTCGCTAACAATGCGACATATCTTTATCTGCCGCGCGAAACTTGACATGCATCTCTCGCTCGCAAATAAACGTGACGTTTATTGTTCACAAAAGGCGTAATATGCGTTTCTCACTTTAGTGAACAGCGTGCTGGTTAGGTCATTCAAAAATTCAAATTTCCCACTAAGCACCATAGGCCTGCCATGGAAAAGCTGGCGATGCCACGTGGGCTCACAAAATTTCACAGGAAACAAAACCGCATGACCAGTCAAATGCGCCCCACGTATGCGCCCACATGCGTCCACGACTTTTTGCGCTCACGCCTATTTGTCATTTCTGCATTTCACCTTGCTTGCAAACAGTGGTGTGCACAATTTGTGAAGCTGCTCAACGAACGCTCAGATGCCACTGCTACACTGGCAACAGGACAGAGCTGCTTTCAAGTAGCAAGTGGTCCTCTACGCAGAGTCGGAAAACAGCGTTAAAGCAGGGTGGAAGTTCGATGTGTTGGAAAAGTGAGTGAGGTGTTGGAGAAAACAAAGGACCAAGGTCCTCGCGTGCGCTGCGACATGTAGTTTTTTTCGCAGATTGAGTCTGAATGATTTACCCTGCCGTTAAGGAGGAAGTTCAAGATTAGGTTGACGACCAGAGAAGCAAAAGTCTGAGTGTCTGCTACGATGATATTGAAGCAAGAGCACGTGCTGTCACAAAGGGTATGTGCACCCACTAACTGAGTTCAAACCGAAGTCTTTGCATGAAGTGGTGTAATGGGTTCATGACGCCTGGTATGTACAGACTGCCAACAAACTTGGTCTGCACGGAACTGGCCGCATGCAGCATCTCCTTTGACAGCAAGCAGCAGAAAGGGCTCACACGATAACAATGACCGTGACTGCTGCATCCTTCTCTCTAGCGACGACGAGTCATAAGCCATGTTTTACAGTAAAATAAATATTTCTTTGCATCACTCTCTGTTCTGAAAAAGTTACTGGTGTGCTATGACCGCAGCATGAAGCCGTGCAACTTTTTTTTTGCCTAGAAAGAACTACAAGTTGAGGAGTCAACTTATAACCGGAGTCGACTGATAATCGGCAATACACGGTAAGCTATGATTACGAACAATTTTGTAGTGGGAGACGCAAGATTCATTTTGATGACACTGGCTTCATGTTGCATTTCGGACACATAGCATACAGCTTCTATGGCTGGGAAATGAACCTGCATCCTCAAGCTCCGTCGTGGCAGGTGTGATACCATATTTACTCGCATAATCCTCGCACTGATTATGCGGGGGAAACTTTCCACGAAAACGTTCAGAGCAAAAAAGAAAATGAAGTATCTGCAAATCGGGATTCTCACACCAGCAAATAACAGCAAGCTTTGAGAAGTACTAATTAAAACTCACCTCAACAATAAAAGCACAGGTTCAACACAAGGCAAGATTTATTTGAGACACAAAAAGTGAAGGCAAATAGGCGAGAATTGGAATACCATACACAAAGCTTGTGGGTGTTGCGGTAGCGTTCGTCGCTCAACAGGAGCCCTCAAAAGGCAAGCGTAGGGTGTCAGTATTGGGCTGATGGCTATTTAACAGAATCCTCCTCAGTTTCCTTCTGAAGAAATAAAGTTTACCATCAATACCAGTTTTAGGCACACGGCAGGCCCAACGGTGGCTTTCTGCTGCCGTCACCAGTAGCGAACACAAAACTCGTAGACTCCGCAGGGCCTACCGGCGGCCCTGTTGCCGTTGTTTAGTGCATGATCTATCACTTTCAACTTGAAAGCAGCCGTGTAGCTTCAGTATTGCCCCATAACGTAACAAGATTACCGACCTAACATACAAAACATGCCGCAAAGGGCACTTGCCACTTCGGCTTGGATTGGATGGAATCTACATGCAATAATAGTATGCTTGATGCTTAATAGATGGCGCGTGCTATCATCATCAGTGGCTGGAACGAACAGACAACATTATTGCGGCAGTTTTCAGGGGTGCGATAATTACGCGAGGAAAAAAAAAGAAATCGTATTTTTGTTGGGCGATGTGGGGGGGTGCGAGAATTATGCGAGTGCGAGGATTACGCGAGTAAATACAGTATGTGAATTTCGGTTTAGGCTGAAGGAAAACAATGGTTCGTTATGACACACGAGAGTACGCAATGAAGATTGATTCCTTCTTCACACACTTATTCACTGACAACTGTCGGACTGATTAACTGCTGTGTAGTAAAAGCCCCCTCAAGGGGAGTAAACAGCTTTAGGGTGGACCATACTTTCCAAGAGAACACCATCGATCGTCTTGTTTTCTATGTCACTTCTTCTTAATTGTGATATCTTGTAAGTATTATCTTAGATTGCTAGTTTTGTGCTCCTCTGCTTTAATTACTTGCTGTTATGAGTACGATAGTTAACATACTCTGTTATAGACATTTGTAGTTGTACACCCCCCCACCCTCAACATTGAAACTGAAGGCCTGTAAGAAATACATCAATAAATAAATGAAAAAAGTTGCAGCCAGGCAACCAGGAAGGCTCACTGGTGAGGATCGTGCGTCGCTTGCACTGCTCGTCTGGGGCCCCCCTTGCCTTGGAGCCATCCAGAGTGAAGGGCGTCTCGTACATGAACTCCGATATGTTGTTGTGCCGCTCAAACTCCGTCTGACGCTGCAACAGCTCCATTTCGCTGAAGTAAGGCACCACATGCGTCACCTGAATGTATGCGTACTTGGGGTCCAGGTCACTTGGGTTCACCTGTGCCCAATGAAACACAGTAAACAAGCTGCTGCCAGCGCAGTTAGCAGCATGCTCATCGGGAGCAGGCAAAAGCAAACAGCACAACCTATCGAATCGTATTTATTGAATGATCATAAAGCTATGGTTGAGGCACAAAAGGGAAGTAGGTATGGGGCAAGCAAGGAGAGTGCTCCTCCTACTTTTCTTTTGCTAATTAATAGCAGTTTTATGGTCATTTTAAAAATATGAACTGACTAGCCCAGCAAGAACTGCAACTCAGAGGGACCTATTTGCACATCACATCCTCCTTATTGGTTCTGAAGGCCTGCTGCCATTAAACAAAAGGTATGCAAATACAGTATTCAGACACAGCTCAGACAGCCTACTGCGAGTACAGTCACAGCTCAGACAGCCTACTACGAGTACAGTCAAACTCAACCATACCGAACTTGGGTATAGTCTATTATCCTTTATATTGAGCCGTTCTTGATAACGACAATGCTTTCATGTCAATGAATAGGAAACCCTCTGGCTACACCAAACACTGGGCAATGTGAAATGCCCCAAGTTGTTGGCTTTCCCTCACAAGAGGTTGGCTTATTTTCACGGAGAAAAACTTTTCCCGCAACCATTTTGGTGAGACAGCGTTCTCATTAGGAACGGCCCACACTGAGCGAGTAAAAATCAGGGGCTTCCATTACAAGCTTTCTCCTGTGATTCCTCGTCGTCACACCTATCGGCCTGCCATGTCCAATCACTGTACGTGTCTCCACTATTCTCCGCTTATTTTACTATCGCAATGGTTGCCGTGAAACAGAATAGCCTGCTGTTTACCACGAAGCTGGCAATAATCAACGTGGTTGAATGTAGAGAAAAGAAGTCGGATGTCAATGCTATGTAAAGTATGCTGTAAAGAGCACTCTGGGCAAATAAAGAACAAGACCACCATTAGGGCCAAGATGGATTATAGGCTAACTAATGCATACGAGCAGCTGTTTATGAAGATCTTGAGGGACTCTTTACATCTATACAACTATAGTGTCTGACATATAGAACAAGTCCCTGCCTATAACCTGCACCACCGGCTACAAACTGCAGAAAATAAAAACTAAAAAGAAAACTGCCGTGTATTTTACTATGAAGCCTTCTTTCTTGCAATATCGTAGAACAATGGCATGAAGCAAGCTCGTTTCATGGCATTGGACATTGTAAACAGCAAGTTCTTCAAAAGCTTTATGTAGAATTACATGACATATCAAACTATTGGCCATATTTTTGTGACTGCAACATATGTGGCTTTGGCTGCATTATATTATAATGATCCATATCAATGCAATGCCCAAGTTCGAATTTATGTGAAGCGAAGCGTTATTGGAGCAATTATCTCCACGGAACAAAAGCCCCTTTGTTTATTTCCAATCGCGGGCGTTAATCCACCACAGGCACTCGAAACACACCACAACTCTTAACGTTTCCCCATGCTTCTCTTAGTGAATACAAATATTTCATCAAGTCTCAACCTTTGAGTATGATTTGTGTTGTAGGCCAAAAAACAGAGATGTCGACAGTGAAGATGGGAAATGGTGATAAATTACAACTGAGGGTTTTATTGTGCTTTGTCGCCTCTTTCCTGTGGACGCCCGTGTTTCTTGTGTTACCATGTACAGCCGCGGCCACGTCTATGTAAAGCACGCAAGGAGCCGGTTTTCGCTTTACAGCGCGAAACCTGGAGGCAGTTTCGGGCTCTGAAGTGCTGCATCAAAAGCATGTGCTGCCTAGTTGTCAGGCTGACTACGTCAGTGCATGCTACTGCCTCAAGCTTTGTCCCGCAGAGCGAAAAGCGGCTGCTTGCGTGTTTTACACAGACATAGCCGCGGCTTGCTGGCTTGTCTGTGTTTTACACAGACAAGCCAGCAAACCCATCAGTCAATCCTTTTGACTTGTCAATCAAAAGTCGCTAGTCAAAAGTCACCTGTTCTGTATGCAGTGGCGCAACATTCAAAATAGAATTTCGACCCATTTTTAAAGCAGCAAAATATTAATTTTGGAGCATTAAAATCCAAATGTAGAGCAGGTTACAGGGAACAAAAGATTAATTTTTTATCATGAGAGATCAAATTTGGAGTAGTATAAAAAAGAAGCTTACAAATAGAAAAAAAAACAGTACAAACATCCCCTAAATCGTGCAGAGAGCATGAGCACAGCTATTTCAATAAAGTAGTATTTATAACCACCCCAGTCAGCAAACAATCATTCACATTAGCATTTGCCATACTTGTTAAATCCTTTCACAAACTCTGAGGATTCAGGTGTGGATCTGCCAAGGTGGCAACTTTGAGAGTCGGGAGATTCGTAAAACTGAAGAGTAGGGGTGTCGACAAAAAAGAAAAAAAAAAAAGAAAAAACTGGCGCACAATTTTTTTTTATTTTTCAGGGCAGCAGAGATCTCATACACTTCTCTGAATGATTGCGAACAAATTTTTTAGAGGACAGCAATCATATTAGTACTCAAAATTACGCAGAATATACACACATGAGTAATTGAATGACTAATGCTAACCTTATCAATCTTAAAACGCTTTTCTGCAGGACACTAGTGTACTGCGGCAAAGGTAGCTTACGCAGCGTTCTGCAGGGGTTATAATTAAGGTCTTTAGTTAAAACAAGGCCAAGAAAATTTTTTTAACCAGTACACCACCTCTTCCCTTACTTTTTTTTCATGATGGTGTTAGGTTCAGGGCGCAAGTTCTCGGCTCCTTTGCAAGGCCCGTTCGGCTAGACAAATTAACAACGGCACGTGCCCGTTGGCCCAGCGACGACGCTGGATGTCTATCGCATGTGCCATACTATGGCAACCAACTTGGTGGCCGGCAATGCCAGCGTTCACAGCATGTTGAGTTAGTTCGCGCGCAGTAAAAGCAGCATACGCTTCCAGCTGTAGTTCTCAACATGCCATAGGCCCGTTTGCTGCAATGAAATGCATATTTACGGTGAAGCATTGGTGGCTACGGCAACGCATTTTTGTCTCAGCGCAACTGAGAAAACTTTGAGGCTAAGCTAGCATTTTGGCACAGCGTGATGCAATTTCAGCAAATTTCACGGTTTTGGCGCAGCTTGGCGCAAAACTGAGGAACTTTATCAAATCGGCGCAATTAGCTCACCTGTTGCACCCCTTTCTGTATGTTAACTACCAACCAGTAAAAACAACAAGCTAGAAACGGTATCAAACCTGATTTGAGTCCATGATCATCTTGACAGATTCCTTGCCAAATTTCTCACAAAACATGCGATGCAGTCGCTCGGAGATTTCAGGGAGTGATGTCACCTTGGGCTCTTTGTATATGTACTCCTTCTCAGATTCATCCCCAAAGTAAGCCTGCAAGTATCAGTACAAAACAAGATGTTTTTATTCACTGAATTCATTGCACAAGGAGACAGCAATGTGTCTTGTTTGATAAAGATTGTCTAAACTTAGATAAAATTACGTAAGGAGTAAGAGCTAAATATTTTCACTCCGAGCTACATCGAGACGACGGGACATGGTGTTTTCTTATTTCCGTTTCCAGTTTTGTGCATTGGCGTGCACTTATTCGACATCATTGTTTGGTTCTTGCACAATATACCGTATTTACTCACATAATGGGCACACCCGAAGTTTGGTCGTGAAAAATGAGATTTTTTTTTTTTTTCTACATAATAGGCACACCCCGAACTTGGCCGTGATCAGTAGTGCGGTACCGTATTTGCACAGTTGCTATTTGACGCCCTCTTACGTTTACTGAAGTGAGGAAAAGATAAAGGGAAATTACCGCGGCAGCGCTGTGCCAGATTCGTGAGCTCTCTGAGTGAGAAAAAAGGGCGATTGCTTGGGTTTCGGAGTAACCTTAGCAACGCCGTCAGCGTGGCTCTGGCACTAGCCCGGCAGTGTGCACTTCGCATAGAAAGGGCGATCACGTTTTCTTCAATACGCATTGCATTTCCTGCCGGGAAAAGTGTCGTCGTTATCAAGTCTGCTACCTTGCCCTCAAATTTAAAAGCTTTTCGGCTTTCCGACGTGAGCTTTCGCTTATGTGCGCGGACTTGCACAAGCTCGGCGGACTTTTGACGTCGTTGCTTTCCTACCTGCAAACCTGAACATCGTATCACATGCACTGCTCTTCGATCAGTGCTTGAGCGAGATCTTTTTGACGCCCAATTTTCATGTTGTCAAGTACAAACTTCCCACGTCAACATGCCATATCGTAGGCTAGGCCTAATCACTGTTGGTGCTTTTTGGCAGTGGTCTCAAGGCAATAAAAATTGCAGTTTTATGCAAAATCTACGTCACTCTTTTCAGTGGCTCTACCTGAAGAAAAGGGGGCTTTGGCGGCACTTGTAACGAACACTCAATGGTTGTTCACGGTTCGATTGCAATGTCTTGGAGATGGGGTGCGAGCCCATGAAGTCGAATGAACAGCACCATTCAGTGCACAACATTTCAGTAGTGATAATGTGCATTATATAAGTGGCCTGAAACATAATCCGCAAATATACGAGCGGTGCTTTCTTTTTACAGCATTTAAAATTTTATTGCACGCAGCATCGCATGCCTCAATTCTTGTATATGCGAGACTGCATGCTCAACACGCTTTTGCGCTAGTTCTAGCCCATGAAGAAAGTCGTTTTGGCTTTAGTGCGGATATTCGTGACTTCGGCGACGTAACTTATCGACGGTCTACGCTGTATAGTCGAAAATAGACTTTTTCAGAAATTTTACCCCCGTAATCGCACCCTGAACTTGGAGAATTTCCTCGAAAAAAGTGTGCCTGTTAAGCGAGTAAATACAATACTTTAAAGTAACACATGCAACTGAATCATTGTACAGCTTGTATACTGGGCTTGTGGGAATGTTTGAGCACTTTGAATATTCGAACGAATAATGCAATATTCGAATTTGATTACAAGTTATTTGACTGAATCACTCTTCATTTCGTACCTGAAATTAGTTATTTGTACAAGCCTTTTGTATACCACTACAAAGCTTACAAAACACAGCCAGTGCATCCTTTTGACAGACCCCACAAGGACACTGGAAAAATTGTGAACCATGTGCAGTAAGCACAGTACAATTCTATGACTGCCTACTGGTGGCCTACTGGTGGCACTACTGTTGTCATCGATATGCTGCCCAGACTCCAGAGCACACAATCAACGAATAAACACTCTAAATTTTTCTATTACCTTTATCTCTATTTCTGTCTGGGTAAAACAAATTCCACATGAGAAAGTGTGTGGCAATCAGATATGTGGTGAAAAAAAACGAACGTGCCTGCCCAAAAAAGACGACTCGGTAGTAAGTGCCCAAGAGGCGCTTCCCCGTAGAGTTGACCTCGAGGATCTTGTTGTAGCCCTGGTGAAGCGTCTTGTAGCAGCGCGCCAGGGCAGCGTAGTTGCGCCGGCGCTCGTAGATGGGCACCAGGAGCCTATAGATGTCGGCCATAGCCTCGTAGCGCTCGGCCAGCTGTAGCATCTCGACGCACTGCTCCAGCCGTTCGACCAGTGACTCCTCCGTCTGCTGGAAGTCCTGCTGCTGCTGCCCAGCAGCGGCGGCTGCGTCTTCTCGAATGTGCGACTCGTCGCGCACCACGTTGGGCGACGTGTTCTTGAAGGCCATGCAGCCTCCGGGGAATACCTCTGCATTGGTCACAGAGCATGTCAGGAAGGCCCCAGAGGTCTACGGCCTATACAAAACGTGCCTTCTCTAAAGTAACTTGCACAGAATATACTGAAAATTTCTAGCTGAAGTCGGGTTGCACACTGTGTGCAAATCGCAGTGCTTAAGTTGGATTCACAGCATCATTTTACAGTTACGCAAGGTAGGCGTCATCACGACAATATGCGGGAATTTTTTTCATTTTTACAGCAAAGCTGTTATGGTTGAAGTTCGTCGAGTGTCAAAGACAGAAAATTACAGTCATCATGAACTGGCTCAATTTCTTTTCACTGCCAAAGCATTCTGTGCGAATGGTTGATATGAGAAGCTGAAACAAAGTGGGATTGGCCCGATTTCTGTGGCACATATGTGCTATAGGCATTTCAGAGCATAGCTGTTATGGTCGAGGTTTGCCGCGAGTCACAGATAGAAAATGATCATTATCACAGACCAGCACACACTTAATGACCACCCAAGCAATCTCTACAGATGGTTAACAAGAGAAGCTGAAACGCTTTATGGTCGGTGAAACAGCAAATGCAGTACTTCACTTCTTTAATGGTGTCGTGAGAATGGAAAGCTAAATTTATGCAAGTGTTGTGGTTTGTTGAAATGGCATTTCCTTGAAGGGGCATAAAGAGTCTGACAATGCCTCACGGATGGCAGTACATTATCTAGCGTTTGCTGTTTGCTTGATCAATGCCTCTGGAAAGGCATGATATGTTTTCTGCTAGACGGACATAGTTGTCCATTTGCGGAGCTGTTTGAAAGTTCCTGTGTGTTTTTAGCGGCGATAGCTGCACTAACCCTGCCATTTTCGACGTAGTTTAATGGCCTCCCAAATGTGCCTACAAATCGCCGAATGGGCTTGTTTTCGTCGTGACACCTGTCGAACAAAATGCGTTAAGGAGACTCCTTCCACTACATGGCATTTATGCAGTGTTTTTTTCCCATGGCTTTGTGGTAGGATAACTGCTGCTTGCCATGCGATCCTCAATGGGACGGACAATTTTTTGCTCACAACCAACGGTGCCGACACTGACAGTAGAATTTCTGCGACACAAGCTCTCTAACGCTGTTGCGTTAATATGTGTTTGTGTGCCTGAGCAGTGCACGGCAAAATTCAGTTATGTACAATAAACCAGCCCCTCCCTCGGCCCTTAAAAGCCTGCACATACATCCAGGCACGTACCAAGAAATTTTTTTTTGCGAGGGGAACCCCCTTAAAACGGCCATTTATGGCTCTCTATGCCATGGCCAAAAAAATTTGCAGGGAGGGGAGGGGGGGTATGTGCCTGTTGTGCCATCCCCTGGCTACGCTCCTGCATACATCACAATGGAGGAGAGCATTGGTCCCACTTGGCACATTTCTAAGTGGGAAATCTACTTGAAAACAATTGAGAATGGCATTTGGTATCTAGTGAAAGTTAACCAGGTGTATGACTGACGTCAACTTCTGTGTCAACATGTCTAGTGTCCTTGTGACAAGACCTCGTCAACTTTAGCATTGCTGTGTGACAAGGCATTCTGCTTGTGCATAGCATTACATGCAAACATTATCCATGCCCACATTGCGAGTACTTTCTTTTCTGTCAATTTTAGGGCTATTACTTAAATGGACTTAGTGCTTTGGTGATTTTTTGAATAGCCTATTTGAAACATTTATAGGTACTCTATGATTTGAAGATATACTTTGCACAGGCTCTGTTTCAAGTGAGTTTTGTTCACATTTTTCAGAGAAAATGAGCAGCCAGAGAAGATGCGACGGCCCCGACACTTCGTAAAACAATAATAATATTGGTCAAGTATCAAAAGCATTGTGTCTTCTAGCCCCATCTAAATACATTTCTTATTAATGATTCCTGATCAAAAATATGAGTCGATATCAAAGGCCGTGCCTTGCACTACAGCTTACCTTTGTGCCTCAAGTACTCGGCCTCCAAAGCAGCGACATGAATGTAGCATTGTGCAGCCTGCAATTGGAGAAAGCACGTGGCCATTCAACCTACCAGGACGATGCATTTCATTAAAGAAAAACCACTGCACATCACACTACCGTGGTTAGGTGAGTACTATACAATCATTAAACTGGCAATGCCCATGGAAATTTGTGTTCAGTTCTCATTCCTCCGTAGAGCAGCATCAGGGACTTCTTTCTTTAGGCATTTATCAATGAATTCGTCCAAGGTAGAGCTGTAAGCAATGCTTTCAGTTCCTTATTTAGAAAACATTTTCCCGACTTTGATGGAATGCTTTCCATATACATTTCTCAGCTACTGCATTTATTTCTCACGGTCCCATGAAAAATGTATGAGAAAGGTTATACTGTATTTTGAAAATGTGTCGATAATGTTATCAGAGTTCGATGCAAGAAATAAATCATTCGTTGCATTGGCACAATTTCTTTTACAATTAGCCTACAACACTCACTGAAATGATCCTGAATTTTGTTCAGAAGGGCCCTGAAACACTTTTTTAAGTAATCATGAAATGAATTCACTGAGACAGCTTATTACTGCCTCACGAATTCAATGCCGCAAAAACTTTAAGAATCCGTCCAGTAGGAGTGAAGTTACAAACATTTGTCGCACGCTGCAATCGCATTCTCCCTTCTCTCATCTCGATGAAAGTGCTAAAAGCTAAATGGGGGTGCGGCATGGGCAAAAAAAATGCGTCACGCACGCCTAGTGACCTTGAGCACTTTTTCTTAATTTTTTTTTCTTCGAGTATGTGGCTTTTTCAGTGTGATAGGGTGTGCACGCACGGACAAGTCGCAGCTTCCCGCGGCGATTCCTGTAATAACCAAGCGCACCATGTTCAAATCAGCCAATGGCTGATAAATGGCCTTCTTTGAGTAATTTTTGAGCCTCTTCTGTCATTTGTCGAGAGAAGAGAAAGCAATGTTAAGCTGACTTTGACCATTTATTGTGAATTCCAGGCCTACGTGCTGCGATATAATATTTGTCTCGCATGTTCTTGAGAGCCTCTACTATCAATCTGCGTTTTCTTACCATGCTTAAGGGGGGACGCGGGTCTTAGAATGGTGAAAAATGGCCAAAAAGTCGATTTTGAGAAAATGCGATATTTAAAATTTTTAGACCTATAAGCACGTGTCCTCAAATTGTGAACACTGAATTCGATCAGTAAATGGATTAAAATTGATTATGAAGTCGCCACGGGAGCCGCAAAACAACCCACGGCAGGTCAAATTCGTTCAAACTTCCCGCATGCGCCGCCGCCGAGGCAGTCGGACGATCGCCGCCATCTTGGGCTTGTTTTGAAGCTGATTCCTTTGTGCGCATTTTGCCACCCTTCAAAATGGCGTCGCTTAAACAGAATGGCTGCCCTCGCCCCTTTTCCTGAGCCCCTTCCGGGCCACTGATTGGCCGGAGCGCGCGCGCACCAGGCGAGCCCCCTGTTCCTCGCTTCCCATTGGCTCATGCGGCCAAAGTTGCGGGCGCTTTTTTTTGTATATTGTTCGTTGGCCGCCGGTTCCCTTTCGTGCACGTTGTTCGTCTGCTTCCCGCACGTGCCTGCTTGTGCTACGCGACCGACGCACCGACTTTCCATCTTTTGCCGTCATTATTGAAGACGCTCGTCTAAAAAAAGACGCGCCAAGCGTACGGCAAGAAATGGAGACGCCCGTGGAACGCCCGCCAGAAGAAAGCAGCCGACAACGTGCAGCCGAGTTCGCCCGATGTCGCCGAAGCGGCGCATTCCGACGACGACGCGCAGCCGCTGCCGCTTGTGTCCGAAGCGGTGCACTCTCCTGTGCCTTGCAGCAGCACCTCATCGAATTGTGTCGTCGTCGGATCGTCATCTTGCACTTCCAGCAGCATTCCTAGACCGCATTGACATGGCGTTTTATTCGGCGGACGAGTTTGCTGAGTGCGTGAGAAATGCAGCGGGCTTCAAGGCATCACTCGCATCGCAGTGCGCAACGGAACGTAAGTTCGAGTTACTAGATATTGATCTGGAGGATGGTGGCAAAGAAAACGGAACAGAATTTGTTATTGTTGATCTGGCGGCGATACGCTTGTTATTTGGACTTGTCGCGTGCCCAGAATGCGGTGAAAGAAGCGTCACTATTTCAAAGGCCAAGAAAGAGTACGGGCTGTGTTCGAAGCTCATAGTCACGTGTGGCAGTTGTGACTTTCGCGAAGAGCGTTTTTCGTCCCCACGTATAGCCAACGAGACTGACGCCAAAATAAGGCCGTTTGAAGTTAATATGCGTGCCATGAAGGCCATCGACAGTATCGGCAAGGGGGCAACGGCTCTGTCGGACTTCTTCGCCGGGATGAATATTTCGCATCGAGGGCTTCACCACAAGAGTTACCAAAGCCACATGAATATAATAAAAGAAGCCTGCTGTGCGACTGCTGCCGAATGCGAAGCGGCGAGCGTTGCTCGCGTCAAGGAGCTGTATGCGGAGTTCGGCAACGCGCCCGGAAACGTCGACGTCATTTATGACGGCACCTGGCTTACGCGTGGACATAGCTCACATATATGTGTTGGCTGCATTGTTGAGATGTATAGTGGCCTCGCTGATAGACCAGTATCGTGCTATCGAACTTTTGCCTGGCTTGCACCACAGGACCCAAGGAAGGAGAAGCAGGACATTCTGCCTGGCTCATTCAGCATGCCCCTCTGTGCCAGAAGAATGTTGATTGTAATGCTGGCCAGACGGAAGTGGAGGCAGCACTACGCTTGTTTGAGCGGTCACTTGAAAAGCACAAGCTTCGTTATACGACAATGCTGTCGAACGGCAACAGCAGGAAATTCCATGCACTCATAGAAAAAGAGGTGTACGGCTTCATAAAGGTGGCCAAAAAGGACTGCATAAATCATGTACACAAGCGTATGGGAGCTGCCTTACGTACCCTTGTAGAGAAAAAAAAAAGCTCAAAGTGGCTCACTTGGTGGAAAGGGCAGACTTATGCAACAAAAGATAAAGAAGATCACCTCATACTATGGCTACGCATTGAGAAGCCACAGGAATGATGTTCCAGGTATGCAGAAGGCTGTTCTAGCAACATTGAACCACATGTCTTCAACTGACGAGGCACCAAAGCATGACCTTTGCCCTGAAGGCCCTGAATCCTGGTGCAAATTTCAGAGAGCTCTTGCGAAAAATGAGAAGCCGCGACCACACAAGGACAGCCTGCCTGATTTTGTAACTGAGGCATTGGAGCCTGTGTTTAGGCGGCTGAGCGACAATGCCCTCTTGGAAAGGTGCAGCGATGGGATCACCCAGAACCCAAGTGAGAGCCTGCACGCTATGATTTGGCAGCAGGCCCCCAAAACTCAGCATGCATCCTTGCGGAGCATTGAAAGAGCAGTTGCTGAAGCCATCAGCCGCTTCAACAAAGGCACAACCAAGAGCAACGTGGAAATTGCCGAGAAGCTGCGCTACAGCGCTGGCAATAACTTGGTGCGTCGCAGCCTTGAGAAGGACAAGCGCAGGCTGCAAAAATCGCGAAGAGAGCATCTCGACAGCAGTTCAATAAAGGAAAGACTTTCAAAGCGTCACAAGCCAGCAGGGGACTCTGCTTATAGCCCTGGTCTGCTGTAAAATAGTCATGGTGGCAAATAGTGAGAGTTTTTGCAAAAATAAATATTCTTGGTTTTAGACCTAAACATTGTGTAAATCTATTGTCTATCCAAGAACAACATTATTACATGATTTTATTTGTGTTCCTTTCACTTGCAAGGCACTGGAACGACCACAAAGTAAAGAAATAATGATTCTCATGCTGAGTCAATGACTATTTTATAGTTCTAGAACAAGCTGTGGGCAGTATTCTGGGTGAGTACAGAGAAATTTAGCATGGCCATTTATCCTATAATATAGAGCTACAGAATGATGTCATTAATATTGCTGTAGCTTCACTTTGGCAAAAGTTAAAGTTGCTAGAAACTTCAAACGCGTTTTTCTCAGTTAAATGTTTTTGCACATTGCACTCGGCCTTACGGGGGTTTTTCCTATGTTAAACTTGAGTGAACGCGACAAAGTTGGTATCATTTTATTCGTCTTGACATGATCTAGGGGGTGATGCTATTTCTATTTCTCTAGCATCACTTCAAAAATTGCCATTGAAGATTTTAGTGAGAGAAATTTATTGTAATATAGTGACCATAAGTGTTAGTCCGTTTTCTTGCTTATAAAATGTTTTCAAATGGATAAAAATAGCATCACCCCCTACAGCAAGTCTCCAGCATTGGGATTATGCATTCACTTTTTGGATTTAGCAAGAATAAATTGCCAAGAAGTCCCGTAAGAAGTACGCTTGTAATTAAGATTCAGACCTTCATATTTTCTAAACTACTTGAAATATTAAGAAACAAATTAGAGATTTGAAATCAGCATGAAAAACTAGCTTAGGTAGTAAAGTTTGGTTAAGATTGAGCAAAAAATTAAAAAAAAATTTTTGAACCCACGTTCCCCCTTAAAAAGTGGTACAGGACCCCTTTAAAATTAGTCAGTCATTAAAATTAGTCAGCCTTTAAAATTAGTCATTAATTTTTGTCAGTGCTGATCACTTTTTTCCCCATGTAGTACAAAAGGCAAGATGGCCCACCTCGGTGTAGCTGCTGTTTTTGATGTGGTAGGCAGCCATGCTTTCGAGCCAGGTCTTGCGCAGAGCTGGTGTGGCCGAATAGCTGTTGGCTAGGCTGTGCTGCAAGTCCACCAGCATCTCGGGATCGTTCTCATGCTCGCGCATTTGCGTGGTTGCCATGAGTACCGTACGTATTTTCTTGGTTAGTTCCTTGACTTCGCTAGGGAATACTGCAAAGAAAAGTGCTGATATTCAGAATTCAAACCTCTCTCAAGGTCCTTTGGACGGTTGCATAACAAGAGTAGCACATGCTGCAAAGTAACTCTATGAAAAAGGAGTGCACATGTTCAAACATGCTTGCCAACCGACAATTCATACTTGACAGGAACTGACAAAAGCCTCAAGCAATAGGAAAAGTTTGTGTGGGGGGCCAGTTAAAACACAAAGGGCTGCAAAGGCCTCAACTTTGCAGTGCAGCTTTTTTCTGAAGCTACAGAGAGTTTGATTATATCTGCATCTGAATCATTTTAGAAAAATTTCAGGCAAATCAAAATTGAATGTGTAAGGCTATCAAACAGAGTGCCTGTTATGGTGCAAGTTGACTAGGAGCTTGCAGCAGCATCAGAAATGCCATCAGCTGTAGACTTCAAATTACATCAGGTACCTATTGTCATGTAATCTTGCAAAAAGTGGCCATATTCCTCAAAATACAACCACTGGTATTTATGGCAAGTTCCACTGGTAGATACGGAACAGCCGCCGAATTCTTGGAGCAAGCACTCGGATTGCGCCAAACCACATCTGCAGTGGAATACGTGAATGCCCCGTGTGAGGTCGCTTTGGAAGTTGTTTACACATAAGTCGCTAAACCAGTACCAGAAACGATTTTCTTTTCCGCTCTCTACGTTTCATCGACAACTGTGTCGCTACTGCAAAGCATGCATTTCCACCACGTAGTCACAAAAAGCAGAGGCACGGCTTTTATGAATGTAAAGAAGTGCACAGGGTTACTAGGCCACCTCAAAAAATGCTGAAGACAACCAGACTGCCTGACTGGACCAGAAATGACAGCAATGCATTCTCAGAGTTTCTGCGAAATCCGTCTCTGCAAAACAGAGCGCGCAGGATGCTTTGTCGCGGAGTAGGTTGCTCTGAATCAACCAGTGGAAAATGCGAACTTGCTCTGAATCTACCAGCGGAATGCAGATTCTCGGCCAAGGAGCAAGAGAACTTGTTCCCGCTCGACAAGTGGAATTCGCCATTAGAAACAATATCTGTGCTGTAGCTACGCGAAGATAAATTACACTCAATGCATCCACCAATTCTAATCTCCCACATAACCAACCTCTGTCCAAAGTACCCAGCAAGACATCTGAAATTTCGGTGGTCTGCAGTAGACACTAAACACAATGGGGCCAGCAGAAGTGTCAAGATTCTATGTATTTGTATAGTTGGCAACAGGAAACATAAACATTTGCATAGAAATTTTCTCACTTTGTACATGAAAACACAAATAGACGCACAAGGTTTTAGCCTCAAAACATCAACTATAGAAGGCTCACATGAATTCCGAGTGTATTTGGCACGTTGCTGACAAAAAAAAATTATATGATGTTACTACAGAGATTCTCCCTAAACATACGGAGTACTCCAATGCTACTTTATAAGTTATGCATTAATTTTACACAAAACTTCCTTTCTGAGTAAAGCACACACTGAGAGACAGGGCGCATAATGCCAGATTAAACAACATGCATGTGAGATGAAGGCTGTTAGTCTGTTTTCCAATGGTTTGCACACACTTTCCCGTGGAAGACGCTGAACTCTGACATGATCACTATCTGCGAACATAAGATGATTGAATACCTGTTCTCTGCATGGCTTTGTCACCAGACGCATAATTGTTGATGATAGACAGGCTCTCCTGAAACCTGGCCGTGTTCAGGCCAATCACTTCACCCAGTAATCTTGAAACAGAAACTATCAACTGAAAAAGAAGCAAGGCGAGAAGAACAAAGTTTAGCTACATGAGATCATGTGATATCACATGATCATGATATCAGACAGAATATTAACAGGGGAGTGTTAGGCAAGTGATCAAGCATGTTGCAAGGAAGGAATCAGTGAAATCTGGCCAACTACCACAAACAGCTTTCTTTGTTATGAGCTGTCAAAATAGAAATATTTTTACTTACGTCCACAAGACAGGAAAAATTATAATGCATGCATCTACAGAAGTAAGTCCGGTAGTTAAAAAACTGAACTGAGACATCCTGCGTATGATGGCAAGAATTACTGAGGCTAACGGCAAGGAACAACATATAAAATGCTTTCTTTGTTGTCGTTTTGACTGGTCTTCTTCACTGTACTACTAAAAGCCAAATTCGACACGGTATCTGCGCACCAACTTTATGAAATGACTTTCTCAACTTATACACTCGAACCTGGTTATAACAAAGTTGCATCTTACATGAATATAAGTTTTTTATATCCAAAAATTCGTTGTAAAGGTATATTCCTTACACTATGTCTATTGCAAGACTAACCTTTATTTACTTTGTTACAGCTGATATTTTGTTACAGTGGGTTTGTTATATCGCAGTTTGAGTGTAGTGCAAACTGTAAAAGACACAAAAGCTGAAAGTGCACGAACTAACATCTGCAGTGCAGCGTACCTGTAAGTGCACCCTTGTGAGTCCCTGCCTCCGGGTGAACTCAAAGTTGCTTCGCATCAGCAGGTACAGCAGGGCACAGGCTTCATTGCGAACGGTTGATAACTTTGAGTTGCAACATCGGAGAAGCTGCACGACACAAGCGCACCACACTCTCAATGAGCCCCACCCAGATCAACTGTGCGCAATGCTGGGACAGCGATATAAAGTTGAACCTTTTCTTAAGAGACATGCGCCAGGGAGCAATTCCTGTCTGTTATATAAGATGTCTCTCATATCACGTATGCATTTTCTTAACACGTATTGCAACGTGGGCACACTGGTGTCCCTAATACCCATTTGGCTCTTACATCATGTGCCTCTTATCAAGGGGTTCGACTGACTGTGCAACTGAGCTGCAATTATCCAAACCCTCTAGACTCAGAATGAATAAAAGAGTTTCCTGAAGAGTCTCGAAAGAACCAATTCGCTCATCCAATGTTTCTGTGCATCTCAACACGAAACTAATAGTCAAGTGAAAGGTAATGAGAGCACACAAGAGAAACAAACAGTGAGAAAAGTTACACGACTTTTTTTCGAGTGTCTGTACAAATCCATAGAGTACGGCCATCACGGCTTTATCATCACTACGGCTCAATACTCTAGCCCACCTTTATAAAACTTGTATAACAAACTGGCAAAACAAAAAGTTGGCTGTATTGAAGTACTATTACATGGCACTGCAACACTTTAAGAGTACACCAAGAAAACATTCCTATCTCTGAGCAATGCAGCCATGAACATGGAGGTCAAATCAGTATGACTGCACTACATGCAATAGACAACAATTGCCAATCTTGGATAGAAAAAAAAAGCCCTTTTTCAAGTGTACCATCTGAGGCACATGCTATCTATGAATAATGGTTTATTAAAAACAGCATTTTTCGCATATCTGCTGTCCTATCATGCCTTTTTCTAGACTTTTCTGTAAGAATGCAATCACAGAACACCATTTCACTCACTCTGATATATTCTACACTTCGAAGAAAACGCGTTACAAGATCAAGCAAAGCTACCTTTTTGCCAGAAGAAGTATGGGTGCGTTGGAAACCAATATAGCAGTGTAACAAAGAAGACACAAAATAAACCATTGTTGTAGTCTGAATTCAATGCTTTCTTTATTGCAGGATCCATTCCAAGGGTACACTATATACATAAAGAATAAATTGAGCTAATAAATGAGAATATTAAGGTCTTCTACCAGGGCGGGCCAGGAGTTGCACAGCACAGGTTAGTACTAGGGAATAAGGGAGAAAAGGGAAGGCGAAGGTGCCAGCATACATACTCCTACTCTTCATATATGACACCTCTGATAACAAGCTCACAAGACTTTTTAAAGTAGCCTTACAATATCTTTTCACAGATTATAAAACTAAAAGAGGCTAGGCTTCCCATCTGATTTACAGAACTCTAATGCTGGAACACTTTACGTGTGAAAATCATATGATACGATTTCATTGTTTATAATTTGGCTTCCTCAACATGCCCCTAAATTTATGTACACAGGCAATCTTTTCAACTATTGTCTCCATCAAAATTCCGCCTCAATGATTGGCAAATTGAACTCACAGCCCTCTGGTCAGCAATGCAATGTCGTTGCTGCAGCGCTACCACTACGAGTCTACCACAGTCTAAGCATTAGCGAACTTTTGAAAACTAATGTGCATGAACCCAGAATTAAAACAGACAACTGCTTACCTCAAAGCAGAGTTTTCCACAAAGAAAGGCATCGCCTTGGAAGAGGGCAACAGGAAACTGGAAAAAGATCAGAGCGAAGCTTCAACCAGAGTATGGCTGTTGCGCAAGGCAAAGTTTATGCATCCCTAGAGAAGTATTACATCCCATTACTATTACTGCTTCCATTGGTGGAAATAAAATGCCATCATGTACGAATAAAAGCTGTATGTACCTGCTATGCAATCCCATACTGTATACAGGCAACAAATACCTGTTGCCTGTACAGTAGCACACATGTAAATTTATTTTCCCCAAATGCGACTAGTGGCCTGCTCCTGCAACCAGTGGCCACAGTGGTTCTTATTAGCGATCGAAAGCTCTATTATAGAAGTACCAACATGCACACATCAGAAGTAATTAGATGGAAAGCTATGTCTCAGAAATTCAGCTGTAGCGCGTGAAGTAGCAATTATTCTGTATAACAGTGTAGCAGGTAGATTAGAAACTGCTGCAAAGGAGAGGGGCAAGACTTTTAAGACTGCACTATCTTTGTAAAGCTTCCCCAGCATTGCATGCCAAGCATAAAACAAAATAAATAGCATTGCACATGAAACAACAAAAATGTAATATGAAGCAATATGGTTACGTTCTAGCCCAAGAACTATTATTTTGCCATGCATAGCCTAATGTATGCGACAGTTTCTGATCATACGCAGCTGCAAAATTTTTTTTCCCCATGCCTCAAATTTCTGCTCATGTGCTCGAATAATGCCTACATTTAAGTGTACTTTTATGGAAACATTTAAACAGCTTCAGGTATATGCAGCACTGTTTTTGCCTAACGTTACAGATGCTTACTGGCCCTTTGCCTTTTTCTGGCTTGTATATCAGCCGTCCTCTTTTTAAGATGTTAGTTTTGAGGTTATAAATGACACATAGAAAGCTGCCTCTCTTTTGAGTGTTCATTCTCACACTTTTCTTGACCCTGTGCCCCTTCCTCCCTATCTACTACAATTATGCAGTGACTATAACAGTAAACTAAGCATACCGTAAAAACCGGACTATAGGTCGGACCGCAATATAGGACGACCCCCCAAAACTTCGAATCGTAAAAAAAGAAATTTAAAAAAATCGCAAAGTATCGCGGCACACCCTTACCTTGATAAAAACGCAACGCAACTAGCTGCACTGTGGTAACATTCATTTTTATTTAGACACTGTTCAATGCTAGGAGGTCACGAAGTTACTCGGACTCATCCGAACTCGAGTCGGATGATGTTTGTTTTTCACTAGCGATGTCCCAGAGTGCATCGTCCTCTGTGCCGTCTAACGCGTTGCTGATGCAGCATTTGCGGAAGGATTTGCGAACCATCTCTTCCGGGAGGGATTTCCAGGCTGACGACACCCAGCCACAAACGGTTTGCGAGCGGTGGACGCCGTAGGCGGCCAGCGGGGGTCTTGGGATTGTCTCCCAGCATCCACTCACTGTAGAGCTCGCGCACGCGACCTTTAAACGGCTTGTTCAGCACAACGTCCAGTGGCTGGAGTATAGATGTCAGTCCCCCGGGGATGACAACAAGATCCGTCTTGCCATCGGACAGCGATCGCTTCACATCGGCCGTGAGGTGACCGCGATAAGAGTCGAGCACCAGCATGCTCGGTCGTTGAAAAAGGGCACCGGGTCGCCGGTTCCACACGAGCCGGATCCATTCAAGCATGAGGGATTCGTTCATGAACCCCTTCTCGCTTGCCCTCACGATCACATCCCGAGGGAAGTCCTCCTTCGGTAGCGTTTTCCTTTTAAAAATAATATAAGGAGGCAGCTTCTTTCCGTCTGCTGTACACGCGAGCATCACGGTAAACCGCGAATGCTCGTTGCCCGTTGTCAATAGCTTCACTTGCTTCGCTGCTTTCTCGGTCACAGTCGTGTTCGATGGCATATCGAACCAGACCGGAGTTTCGTCAGCGTTGCCCATGTGGCCCATCATGTAGCAACGCTGTCGACGAAGCTCGATGACGAAGCGCTGATACTCCACAAGCTTGTGCTCGAACTCTGCGGGTAGTTTTTGGCACACTGAAGTACGCCGCCGCAGAACAAGGCCCTTCCGCTTCATGAATCGGCGCACCCACGATGGCGAGCCCTTGAATTGCGCCCTCGTGAGCCCCGAGTCGCGCGCAATCTCGAGCGCTTTCACGCGGATGCACTCCGTTGTCACGGGTAGCGACCTTGCGCGCAGCTCCCGTACGAACTCGACGAGTGCCGTTTCCAGTTCGGGGTGAACTGCAGTCCGTCCACGAAACGACGTTTTCTTCTGGTTGCTGCAACTTATGATGCGCTGTTTCTGGCTCCTCCAGTATCGGATGCTCTTCTCCGTCGGGCCGAATTCTCGTTGTGCCGCCAGGTTGCCGTGGGCTTCCGCATATTCGATGACTTTTTTCTTGAAGCACATCGTGAACTGACGTCGGCTGCCACTCATATTGAAGGAGATAGCCTCAGATGGGGATAATGAAACAGCGCAAAACCACCGCAGCCACCCTTGCTTCGCAATCGGGACAAACAAAACGCAAAATGGGCGTCGCGGCCGCCCAACGATGCTGTTGCTGATGCTCACGATGGCAATGGAGCCTACCGACTTTTGTCAACCCATTGTTGCAAGACTTCCATAAGTTTTCTGCCAAAGTACTTGAAATGAATGAATATATCAAATCTGCATGCAACCCCTATAAAGGTAGTTTCACTGCTATAAAGACATGCCAAACCGTCTAACCACGTACTCAAATGTATATCACTCCGGTTGTAACTTCCTGTGAAAGTAGTTTCAATGAAGTAAGAAAAACCCACACTGCCGCGAAGCCCTACTTCAAGGCTAAATGAACATAGCTTCACATCGATTCATCATTATTCAAGTTTGAAATCTTGTTATACGGACTTATATGCTCTAAGTAAAATAAACTTAAAAATTTTACATATTTTACAGGTTATCACACACATTCTACTGAAAATCAAATCCTGATACTACTCAAAGTTGTCTCCACTTCCTTTGCACCAAAAAGAATGGCATTTGCACAAGTTTTGTATCAATCTTTAAAAAATACTGTGCAGGTCAGTTGTGTCATGACAAATATGCCTATCTTTGTTTATGATGTGTGATATATCATATTCGAATTAGATTCGAAATTATTTGACCAATATCACTATTCGCTCCGAACCTAGAATTCACTATTTGCAAAAGCCTGCTTTTCTCCCATCTATCACAAAACACTCATGCAACACTCCCAAAAGGAAAAAACGAAAGGAGATAAAGACAAAAAGGTTAAGAGAGGGAACCTTGTTGATGAAGGCACGCAGTGCAGCAAAAAGGTGTCGCAGCAGGTTCTCAGACTGGCCCACTTCGAGGAACGAGAGGTAGATGTCGAAGAGGCGTCGCATTGTTGGGTTGTCCCCGTCGTTGAACAGCAGCGATTCCTTGAAGCGGCTGCAGTAGAGTCCCAGGACATCCAGGGCGATGAGTCCGACTTCGGTGGCCATGTTGGCCTCGAGTAGCGCCCGGTAGAAGCTGTCCCCGTCGACCTCACTGCCATTCTCTGTTGACACGATGCGAAATAAGAACAGCGAGTGGCGAAAACCCATGAGAAAGACACCACATTTCCCAATATTATGACTAGAGCGAGTAAGCTTTCGTAGCAATGGCTGTTACGGGTGTCCCCGTGAGCTTAGTAAATTTTTGTACATGTGCGTCGATAGAGTGTGCCCAAAAACCAGCTAGTCAAAAGACCGCATACCAGGCAGCCAAAAACCATTACACCGGAGAAATGTAAATGTAAAGCATGGCTGCTGCCTAGCTGATGCTGCACCTCAGTGACATCCTGGTTGTCAATCGAAGGGGCTTTATTGTATCTAAGGGCTTCGGATAGGTGGATACTGATGGTCTATTCAATCTTCATTTCATTTTATTGATTGAACATTTCTGAAGCATCCTTTATGTAAATTATCTAGTCATTGAGGTGTCTCAAACCAGTTGAAAGCTTCTAAAAATGGACACCTTTTAGCAGCAGCCCTACATATCGAATGAACAGTACTGGTCCAACTACATTTCTTCGAACTGCTTTCTTCCAACTTCTATCTTCCAACTGCTATCTCAGTGCAGTCGGAATTAAAATTAAAAAAATGGAGAAAAGCTGGTTGGCTTACCCATGGCTGCGTTCTCGCTGTATGTGCTGTTGCATCGTTGCGTGAACGTGGGTGGAGCCGTCCTGGCAGGCAAGGTCATGGCCTTGGCCTGTGCACTTGAGGACTGCTGATTCCTGGTTTTTTTCGTTTTGTATATGAAAGCAACAACATGTTCAGTCAGCACACTCATCTTGGACCAGCCAATAGCACTTTGCAGCAGAACGTCATGCTTTGGCTGTCAAGTTATTGGCCGTGCATCCTAATTTTTGCAGACCCCATTCTCATCTACATGTCTCATCTCAACATGCAATAGCTCAGGTACTACTGTTCTACTATGTAATATGGGGCTCCTATGAATGCAAGAAAGAGTACACATCATTTGTAGGCTTGTGGGAATAGTGAATTTTCGGTTCGAAGCTAATAGTAATTTTGATTGAATAATTTCGAATTGAATTCGAATGGTATAAATGACATATAAAGAAAGGAAACATTTATCATGACCTAACTGACCTGCACAACATTTCTTTTGAATTGAAATAAGGGCTCTATGCAAATGCCCCCCCCCCCTTTTTTTTGTTCAAAGGAAGTCGAAACAGCCTTGAGTAGTAGTTTCGATAGGATGCGAGTGATAATCTGTAAGATACTTAATATTTTAAAATTTATTATACTTAGATCATATAAGCCATCATAAAAAAGCTTAATAAAATGATTTGATTTGAGGGTAACATGTTCCTTTAAAGGGGCCCTGCAACACTTTTTCAAGTAGCCATAGAACCAGTAAACATGCTTGTTGCCTCAAAAATTTACCCCCGCAAAGTTTCTAGAATCAGTTCAGTACGAACATAGTTCCAAAAATTTGTTGCGTGCTGCAATTGCATTCTCTCTTCTCGTCCTGACGAAATAGCTGAAAGCTAAGCAAGGACAAATGGCACGGCGAAAGAAAATGCTTCTCACGCATGTCCTGATCTTGAGCACCTTTTTTTTTCTTCGCATACGCGGCTTCAGTGCCATCACGCACGTACTCGTAGACAAGCGGCGGTCCTGGTAATGATGAGCACGCCATGCTCAATTCAGCCAATGTCTGTTACCAGAGCCATATATTCCTTCTTGGCTTTGGCATGTGATTTTTGAGCTTGTAGTGTCGATTGTTGAAAAAAGCAATTTTTAGCTTTGAAAATTCATTGTGAATTACAGGCCATGTGCTACGTTACAATATTTGACTCGCGTGTTCTCGGTAGCCTCGACTACCGATCGACAGCGTTTTCCGACTATGTTCAGCAAGTGTTGCAGGGCCCCTTTATATTTAAAGAACCTCATGGCAAAGCGAATTTTTTCTGAGTAGGTGCTTTCACTGCTTAGCACCCCTGATTTGCAGTGAAACCCTCTTTAGAAGCAGTGACATGCAGAATAATATACACTTATTCATTCATTGCGAATACTTCGAAAATATTCGATAATTTAAATTAGAAGCAAAACAAATTCGAATACTCAACTATGTGTTCGAATAATCGCACTAGCCTAATCATTTGATATACACACCTATCTTGTACCACAAATCTTGATATACTATACCAGGCTGCTAAATTGTTTAATGTATAAACTTCGAATGCTTACTTCAAATAAATCTAACCCTTTTACAAAACTTACATAAGTGGGAGTAGAAAAGAAAGGGGGAAGGGTCATAGGTTCCCCAATAGAGATTACAAACTTTTCAAAACTTCGTGCCCTAGATCCGAGATAGCAATGTATACAGTAGAACCTTGCTGATATGCTCCTGCTTTTTACAATTTCCAGGCTCCTACTCTCGAAATCACAAAAACTAAGAACAACCCCATTCGAATTGTATGTTTTTCCAGAACGTACGTTTATTTTTTTCGTTTTTTTTAACTTACCAATGAGGTTCTACTGTATCTCTATAAAAAGGTTTTTTTTTTTTTAGGACAACACAAATTCTAAAATCAAATGCCCTTTTGTATGCCACAATCACATTGGTAAAAAAAAACGGCAAGAAGCACTACGGTGTTGCTCAAAGCCAAGAAAGCTTTAGGATCCCTGCTTCGATCTTTCTCCTTATGATGGCGCTTATAAATGAAGACGAAGAAATCCTGTTCCCCCTGTTACCAACCAGCTTAGATGTTCTGAGCGTATGAAAACAGGACACAATTTAAAAAAAAATTATAACTGAGGCATGATAATGTTGAAGAATCAACAAAGTTTGCTTACCGCCCTTTGAGGATGTGCTTCTTGCCCATGTATCTGAACTGATGCAAACATAGCCTGTGAGAGAGAAGAGGAAAAAAATATGCAGATTGAAAATTTGCAACACTAAAAAGCTTTTACGAAGTATAGTGGCTGCATCTTTTTTTTTTAATGCATCTGTGATTGACATTAGAAAAAGCTGAAAAAAGGAAATGACAATGATAATGACAAACTTACTCCAGTAGGTGAAAGAAGTCAAGTAAATCACAGTCTCTGCATTGCTGCCACCAGCCAATCAGTAGGTCTGCAAGAAAATGGTGTTCGTTAGTTACCTCAATTTAAGCATCAGCAACTGCTGTAGCTTTGTATCAGCAAAGAAATAAGCATGCTCTAGCTCTGGTGAAATACCATAATTTATGGTTTGATTGATTTGTGGGGTTTAACGTCCCAAAACCACCATATGATTATGAGAGACGCCGTAGTGGAGGGCTCCGGAAATTTTGACCACCTGGGGTTCTTTAACGTGCACCCAAATCTGAGCACACGGGCCTACGACATTTCCGCCTCCATCGGAAATGCAGCCGCCGCAGCCGGGATTCGAACCCGCCACCTGCGGGCATAATTTATGGTTTCATGTGTTTATTCCATACATTGTTTAAAATTAATTCACGCATATGAAACTGCGAGGTGATGTCTGCGCAGCTATGTACAAAATAGGAATATTATTGGTGACCAAAATTATTACAAATATTTCAAGAAACAAGTGAAATATGAATCAAATGTACTGCCATGATTAAATGAAATAAAATTGATTAATAATTATTGAATATGATTTTATTAAAATTTTGCTTATTAAAGGCCAGCTTTTCCCATAAGAATTTTCCTTTCTTGTAATCCATGAAATGTTTCTGTCATTATAAAAAGCACCAAGAAAATATTGGGCACAATTGAACATGTACACAACTTTGCAATTAAAAGAGTATGCTGTTATTCCATAATGTACACAGAGCACAACGACATCATACATATTCCGGTTTCATTATCGAGTACAAAGAGTGCCAAATTCCCTGTGTGAGCTACATTTTGCATTTTTTATTTACATATTGCAAAACAGCTATACGCAGAAGTGCTCTTTGTCAGCACATAAGCGATTGTGTGAGCATTGCAAGGTGACTAAAAGCACATTAACAAACCTTCGTTCAATTGCTTGATGAGGTAGAGAAAACAGACCAAGAGGTCCTTGATCTCGGAGGGCTCGAACTTGTCGTACCTAACAATGCCCGTGGGGCTGGCAAATGGCAAAGACTGTGACCTGACAAAAAGAAAAGAAAGATCAAGGCGACGCCTGCATCGAGAGAGGCATAGAGTTAAAATCAAAGGTGCCAGTACAGCAGTCACTCCTAAAGCTCCCGGATCACTGGTTTGCTTTCTACTGTTCTATATGTAATCCGCCTACAGTGAAAACACTTCAAAATGCTAACACACAAACAATCAAGTGAACGCATACAACTTACACAAAGAAATGTATCAGAGATTGCACTATGAAAATAAAGTAGATGGCACAAACATATTGTAACAGGGCTTTAATATGATTGCTTTCAATAAACTTGATTCCCTCACCTGAATGTGAAGTGGCACTAAAAACTAAGTGGAATGTTAATGAATTCAAACAGTTTAGTATAGTCCGAGATATGAGTAGCAATCGTGTGGCCACGTGAACCAACCCCCTGTAGCACACGCAAGACTGCATTTTTTTTTCTTGCAGGTGTAGGGTTCAAGTAGGGTGCAAAACAAAGTTTTCTGGCTTCAGACAAAGCTTTTTGGCGAAAATGTCACATAATGCTATACATTAGTAAATGTTTTATACAATTATTGTATCAATCTATTAGGTTTCCCATATTATTACATTATTACGTGCTTAGACTGGTCACCACACACCCAAGGCTCTTTCACTACCGTGGGAAAAGGGGTCGTTTTTACTAGATGTAAAAAACATTTTCTTGGCAGCTAGATACTAAAATCTTATCTACATTCTTTGGTACCAAACTGTAGCTAAAAAAACGATCTGTCCAATAACACAAAGGTTCCATAGATATTTATTACACACATTAAGAAAAAAATGTGTGTAAAGAAAAGTTTATGCAGTGATTATACAATTAACGCTTTAAAAAGAAGGACAACATAAAAAATGAGGCCAAAATAATTCAAGATATGCAATTTGAAGCTTCTCAAGTTGCAAAATAATTGTACAAGTTTAAAAAATTATTGCCAAAAGCCGTTCTTTCCACAAAAAAGAAAGTTAGTGATGGTGCAGCAGTATATGGGTAATCCTGTGCCGTTTGCCATCGCATACAGGGCCTGTTTGTTCCAAGTCCATGGCACTTAGAAAAGCAAGGAACGAAAAGAAATGGCTTCTGGGAAAAATTTTTGAAAGACTGAGACCTCAAGATGAATCTGAGGTATTTCAGTAGAGATGAAGGTGAGGCAATTCAACATTTCCCATGTAGATGAGGATTCCAATGCACTTCATCATTTGATAGGGACTGAAGTACCTCCTTGAGTCCTCTCTTTCCACGTATGTCTGCCTCTATAAAATATACATCCACAAATTTGTTGGTGTAGTCACAGATCATGCGGGTTAGTTGATCAGTGAAATACAGCTGGAAGAAATCAATGGCCCAGATGAAGCGCTGTGCGTTCCTCAGGAGCGCACCTTCGACTTTGACCTCCGGGTTTCGGTTCAAAAGAAACTGCTAGCAAGAAATCATGTTCGTAGAAAGTTGAGAACCTCAAAATGAGTAAAATTGGTGTAAGTACACACTCCGTTGCTCGTAACTACTAATTAGACAATAAAATGTGCACCACACATACAGCTCACACTCACTCACTTGATGATGTGGCTTGACTTGGTGCACCGTCGTCATCGGTGATGAAATTTGATGTGTGAACATCTTCGCTAGGATCACTGTAGTCGATTTCTTCCTCAAAATCTGCTCTTGATGCGCTCAATTCGTGAGAAAAGCGTCGCCTTTTAGGAACGTCCATATGGGAAACCGACGCCATGATCGGCACACTAGTGCAACAACCCGTAACTTTAAGCAGCGAGAAAAAACTTTCCTAAAGCAAAAACAACCGGTACATTGCGGATCTCATGCCTTTGCTACTTTCTTACCTAGATGGCGGTAGTCACCCGCAAATTTCATGAGCACACGAAAATTTAAACTTGAAATGCGTCTTCAAGTTGAATCAATTAAATAGGCGCGGTAGGGGAAGAGTTAAAATGCACTTGTAAACGGGAATTTAATTTCACCGAACACTTGCAGCATACATTAGAGAGCCCATGTAATTGTGTGATGACTTAGCTCACCTAGCATGACCTTTGCTCACGAGGCTCCCGTCTCGTGTGAAACACTGAGCTGACCCAACGTCTCCGTTACGAACTGGTGCGTCGATTTCCTTGGCGGACGAACTTGACGGTGTGGAGGACTCGCTTTCCAGTGACGTACAGGAGCCGTTGGTGGCAAACGTAACCCCCATATGTGGAAGCGGGGCTGCAACGAAGCAATACAAATGTTATGAGAAAGTTGGAAAAACTGTAATAAGCATGAATGAATTGTGAGTAAGCGCGAATATACAAGTATGTAGAAAGAACTGACCCGGGCAAAGCGCCACTTTCAACCGATCTTTTATTTTTGCACGAACCAATAAATATATACCGAACAAGCAGAAATAACATAAACAAAAAGAACATTTTGTAAATTCACATTGACGAACCAAGCACATGTACAATGCGTTATGACAACATAGCAAAAAGTTTCATGTCACTGCATCAGAGTAAGGTAATGAAGCTCTTTTTGAGAAAGCCTTACTGAAGGTTGGCTAACGCACATGTCTGATAATCTCGCAATTTAATACTCCTCCTTGTCATCCTGCCAGGTGCCTTAAATATTATTGCAGTGTTTTTGAATAAGGGCTTGCATCTACAATATCGGCGATAAATGCCCAAATGACATGATATTGCTTTCGTGACATTATAATGATGTTCTTTCAATCTCTGATTAGTACATTGGCCGGTCTGACCAACATCAGTTCTCGTATAGAAAAGCAGAATAGCATAAACAATGTTGCGAGTGCAGTTTACAAAAATGTGCTCTACGAATAACAAGACAAGCACATACACTGTTACATTCTTGCAAGATGACAAGGAAGATTATAAAGACGTATGAAATTACGAGCTAACCTTAAGAATCGCTTTCTCAAAAACAGCTTCATTACCTTGACTTGACGCAGGGACATGAAACTTTTTGCTATGTTGTGATAATGCATTGTACATGAGCTCGGTTCAATGATGTTAATCAACAAAACATGCTTTTTGTTTATGCTACAGTCGACTCCCGTTAATACGAAGTACACGGGAACCGCAAAAAACTTCGAATTAAACGAACTTCGAATTGAGCAAAAAGCACTAAAAACGGCACTTTTATTAGTTTAAAAGCGCGACAGTTTTGAGGAAAAATAGTCTGTCATCTTCTTCTGCTTGCCAAATCTGGCTCCGGCTAGCAAGTTTTGTAAGGAATACACGTGTCGAAGTGCTTCTTCGGCGTTGAGTTCTCCAACAAAAAACCGCTGCGCAAGAGCAAGACCCGCAGCTACATCGGCAGCCCTCGGTGGTGGCTCATTTCCGATGTCGTCGTCATCATCGTCATTTTCAGGAATGCAGTCATGGGGCCGAACCATCTGCACGATTTCGCTGTCCGTTAGTGGACCGCATGTTTCGACGTTGCTGTCCACAGCGACATACTCGTCAAAACGGACGTCACTGAGAGCGGCGCGAAAGCTACCGTCGTCAAGCTCATTTGTTTGCACTTCCACTGGCGCACAAGGAGAAGCATCCCCCGAGTTTTCCATGAAACCACAGGCCCGGAAACTATTGGCGATGGTTTCTTCTTTCACGCGGGTCCAAGCTCGCGCTAGCATGTTGTTGGCACTAAGCAAACTCACCTCGTATTGCGAAGAGTTGTCCATGCACAAAAGCATGCGCTCGATGAGATGCTGCCTATACAATACCTTCACATTTTTTATTATGCCCTGGTCCATGGGCTGCAACACGGACGTCGTGTTTGCAGGCAGGTACACAAGACAGATGGCACTCAAGGCAGGTACGTTCATGTGGGCACTACATTGGTCCACAAGGAAACACACCTTACGGCTTGATTGCGCGAACTTGCGGTCGAGTTTGGTGATCCAGTCCTTAAATATATCGGATGTCATCCACGCCTTTCTGTTCGAGACATAATCCAAAGGAAGCATCTTCAGGCCTTTAAAGCACCTAGGCTTGGCAGCCTTCCCGATCACAAGCAGGCGACACCGTTCTGTGCCAGTCATGTTCGCCGCGACTAGCACTGACACTCTCTCTTTGCTTCTTTTGCCTCCAGAACAGTCGTCGTCTTTAAATGTCAGGGTCTTGTCCGGTAGCAGCCGATAAAAAAGCGCAGTCTCGTCTGTATTAAAAATGTCTGCCGGCTGGTATTCTTCGAGGTACTCGCGAAGCTTGCCCGCTTTCCATGTCAGGCACGTTTCCTCATCGACTGACGCCTTCTCCCCACACACCCTTTTGAAAATCAAGTCGTGGCGATGTTTGAAATGCGTAAGCCACCCATCCGAAGCAGCGAAGTCGTTGATGCCCAACATTTCAGCAAGCGATGACGCTTTTGCCGTGACGACTTCATCACTGAGAGGAAGTTTGTTGTTTCGTGCCTCTCTGATCCAAATCAGCAGTGCTTTCTCCAACTCGGGGTAGGCGCCGGTGCGCATCCGCTTCCGCGATGTCTTGAATTTTTCACTTTCAAACGCATCCAATATTGAGCGCTTATTCTTTATGAAAGTAGACAGCGTGTTAGGCTTAATGCCGTACTTTCTTGCAATGTCTTGTTTGGCGGTGCCTCCCTGGTCAACTTCCTTCAAGACTTCGACTTTCGTCGCTAGGTCTAGCGTTTGGTAAGGGCCACGAGTTGCCATTATCAAACGTACGTCACCACCACAACACTCAAAATCAGAAGCGCGGAAACACGTGTGGAATCAACCCAGCGCGCGGGTGACGCGGTGACACACTCGAGTCTCGACAAAAGTCAACTAAAGAGTCAGTCGATGCCGCCGATGCGATTCGCCAGCGTTAAAAAGATTGCCGCTTCAAGATCTGTGGCGCTGCGGACAATAGTGATGGCGAAGACACCAGCGCGGTCCGGCAGATGTTTTGGCATATGAAAAGTTCCCCATTTTACTGTAAAATTACGGTCGCGACGAGACTGTCGATTGAAAAAACTTCTAATTAACCAATATTATGGGTTTTTAACTTCGAATTATCGAGCATTTTTTTCTATACGATTGCATGCAAAACTGATGGGACCATTTGCTCATTTCTAATTAAGCGAAACTTCCAATTAAGCGACTTCAAATTACCGGGAGTCGACTGTATTTCCACTCTTTCGGTGTATATTTATCAGTTCGTACGAAAATAAAAGATCAGTTGAAAGTAGCGCTCTGTCAATGTCAGTTCTTTCAACGTCCTCGTCTGCGCTTACTCACAATTCATGGATGAAAACCAAATAGCCCGCTAACGTGTTCTAGCAATGTAATAAGCACCTTGCACTTCGATAAGTAGACACTTTCTCGCTGAAAACAACTGAAACACAGATGAAAGCTTTTTAAGTCATCTCTCCGTGCTACCATAGCCTAGTTTGGCTTTGCAATAAGCTTTCATTGCCTAACAAATTACACACACTCCAATGTCGCAAGGCTTGGCACGCTTCACTACTTTATTATTGCCAGTGTACTGTTGAAGTGGGTACCAATGCTCAAAGCAAAAAAACAGCATTTATGATCTGCGGGTCTGCCATCTTGGAAGCCGTTTGGCAGTTCACAAGTAAGCTGCCCACTTGTACGACATTCTCAATGCTCACTGATTATTGGAAGTCAAGCATTGCTAATGTATGTGCCAGTTCTACAGCTGTTTTATACTCTTCACTGCATTAAGAAATGTTCGGTTAACATTTACTTGTCCGCAGCTAAAGCAGCACTATTAAGATATTCCTTCAGTAATTCAGGCATGTGCAACTGCTGCTTATCGGTTTAGAGTCACAAGCGAGTCGCATGAACTGTGCAATGCACCAATCTTTTTTTTTTGTTAAATCAACCCATAAATTAAGAAGCACAGAAGCCCAAGGCTAGCAAATAATTTATTTAGCAGCCTTCCACTCATTGCCACACAGCAAACAATCATTAGTGGGGTAGTTCTCATAGTATTATCATGATAGGTCTTGTGATATGAAAATCACGAATTACTTGGTGTGACCAAACGTGAAGGCATCCTGCAAAATAACTTGAAGACTTCCCTTTTCGAGCTATGCTATTATGTACGCTGTTTAAGCATTTGTCCTCTAAACACTGCATCGTTGGTGTGTCCATCACAACTGCTGAATGATGAGAATCCATGCTCGTAATGCATTGCTAGTATAACCCGATGCTTATGAATATGTCAGAAATGAGCAGTCATTTCACACACCAGAACTGAAACGCACAACGCCGGAATGAGCCTAAAATAATGGATTAATCGGCAGACATGCCAAAAATCAGAGCCCTCACAAATGAAGCAACACCTCACTATGTATGAGCCTGTGGTATGTGAAAAGCTACGTGCGTACTCTGTAGGGCAGTGATACAATGGCTCTAAGAGAAAATTTCTCCAAGAATTTTTCACCAAACTGAACAGTTTGCCAATGGCAGCTGACACATTCTAGAATAATATTAGAGAATTTGGAGCTTCAGCATGAAAACTTGTATGCCCAAAAGACACACCACTTTAAATTGTTCTGTGCTGCCGAGATAACAGTTAAAAAGTATAACAATGTTAATTACTTATTTCACCCGAAATATGCAGAAGTAAAGCTAGAGCTTAGGTTGTTTGCAGCAGAAATAAAATAAAACGGAAAGTTGACGATCTTCTTCTTTTTACATTTGGTGCATTGCAGTGTCCACAACTGTGGAAGCCGCAATTTCGATAGAGGCGAAAATGGTGTAAGGCCCGTGTGCTCAGATTTGGATGCACGTTCAAAAACCCCAAGGCGGTCGAAATTTCCGGAGCCCTCCACTACGACGCGTCTTATAATCATGTGGTGGTTTTGGGATGTTAAACCCAAACCCGACATATGAATCAATCAACAATGTTCCAGCGCTAAGGCATTCATAACCATTCGCATACAGCTGAACATGACAAAAATTAAATGGTTATATAGGTTTCCCTCTCTTTTTTAAGGACTGTCAGAGATAAAATTTCATTGAATTGTATTTAAGGACAACTGAATGCAAGATGCCAACTGTGAAGATTGAAAAGATAAATAGCATTATAACATTTTTGCCGCATTGGCGTTCTTCATAACAATGGGCAAGAAACTTGATAAACAGAAGTGAAAAGAATAGAACATACATGCATTTGCTATAATTTTTTCGCAATGTTATAGCACATAAGAAAACTGATCACTGTCAAATTGACTAA